AATAGCTTCTCTCAGCTATTAAGGAGGTTTAGGGCGAACTTGCCATCCGTCGTCCCTTGGAAACACTGGTTACGAATTCAATTCGTCCCTGTTCCTCCTGCCCCGGCCCGGCGTGACGCCCTGCACACTTACTGTCCGATCGATATCTTATCGCGCTTGCCACCTCTCACCTGCATTGCATATACATACTAGCTATTCCTTACCTATCAAACCAGCTCTTCTCACTTTTTTCCATTCTCATCCTTCTGCTCCCCTCGTCATCCACCCCGGACGCTTTTCTTTACTCACCCTCATACATTCTTGCCGGGGATCCAATTGCTCTCAGGACGCCCTGCCCGTCATGAATACGGCCACGGTGACGAGCCTCGAGAGCTCAACCACCACCTCATCCCTCCGCAACACACACAATGGCAGCACCAATTCCAAGGAAGCCGCAGAGGAAACTACACCCGAAAAGCGCCGCACCACTGAGGAACTGAGGAGAGCGGTCCAGCGGAAGTACCGGCACGTTGCTGCCGTCCACCACAGATCGCGCCCTTCTACCTTAAGCCATGACTCTAATGCTGCTCCGAGTTTCATTGGCTTCAGGAACCTAATGGTAATCGTATTAGGTATGTTTGAACCGCATCCAGGGGCTGCTAGGCAGCTGAGCTTACGGTGTCTAGTTGTCGGTAATCTTCGTCTGATGATGGAGAACATCCAAAAGGTAGGCAGTTTTTGATACTTTGAACGTGGTCCCGCGTTGCTAACCATTCGTAGTATGGAGTGTTGATCTGCGTTCGTTGCCACGATTTCCGTCGGCAAGATCTTGTGTTGGGCTTGGGCTTGTACCTCCTCATCCCCTGCCATCTGTTTGCCGCATACTTGATCGAACTAGCTGCTGCTCAGCAAGCAAGGGGGTTGCGAGCCAAATCAAAGGATGGAGCCGCGAGCCCGACGAAAGACCAACGCTCACGATTCGACTCCACCTGGAAGGTCATCGCTTGGATTCACGCTGTCAACATTACGCTTGCTCTGGCTGTGACGTCCTACGTCGTGTACTTCCACATTTACCATCCCTTGATCGGTACCCTGGCACAGCTTCACGCCTTAATCGTCTGGCTCAAGACGGCATCGTACGCCTTCACAAACCGAGACCTGCGGCATGCCTACCTGCACCCTGTCAAGGGTGAGCTCGCAGCCATGCCCGAGATCTACCAGCAGTGTCCCTACCCGCAGAACATCACGATGGACAACTTGGCCTACTTCTGGTGGGCACCGACGCTGGTCTACCAGCCGGCGTACCCGAGGACGGACAAGATCAGATGGCTGTTTGTCGCTAAGCGCATGGCGGAGGTGTTTGGTCTGGGCGTTTTTATCTGGTTCGCGAGTGCTCAGTACGCCGCACCGGTCTTGATCAACTCCCTCGACAAGATCGCGTCCCTAGATGTCCCCAAGATTCTTGAGCGGCTGATGAAGCTTTCAACCATCTCCTTGGTTATCTGGCTCGCCGGCTTCTTTGCTCTGTTCCAGTCTTTCCTCAACGCACTTGCCGAGGTGACTCGTTTTGGCGACCGATGCTTCTACGAGGACTGGTGGAACAGCGAGAGTCTGGGTGCGTACTGGCGTCTGTGGAACAAGCCTGTCTACCAGTACTTCAAGCGTCACGTCTACTCGCCTCTGATCGGCCGAGGATGGAGTTCTAGGGCTGCCCAGCTGGCCGTTTTCTTCGCCTCGGCTGTTCTCCATGAGGTACTTGTCGGCATCCCGACTCACAACATTATTGGTACGCGACCTCCCACAATACTGCAGTGAAGTACAGTGCATATAATAACAAACACCAGGTGTTGCTTTCGCTGGCATGTTCTTGCAGCTCCCCCTAATCGCCATCACCACTCCCCTCGAAAAGATGCAGACCCCGACTGGGCGCATGATTGGTAACTGCATATTCTGGGTCTCCTTCACTATCCTCGGACAGCCGTTTGCTGCTCTGATGTACTTTTACGCCTGGCAGGCCAAATATGGCAGCGTGAGCAGGCAGATGGCGTGGTCAGCCGCACCAAGCTCGTAACGAGCGTAATTTGCAAAAGGCATGGCGTTGCCTAATCTATTGTGTAATTGTCTACCTTTATTAGAGAAAAAGAAGAAGAGAAAAACAGGAATGGCGCTTTTCAACATCACATGCAGTTGTATAGTACACTGGCTCGGTGTCCCGGGCCGTATGCACAGTCGTGCTAACCGCAGAAGGGAATCATGATACTGACACGCTTGCGGTAGTCGACGTAGTCCTGGCCAAAGAACCTCACCAGCAGATCCTCCTCGTGACGTATTCTCATGGAGAAGAAGTACCACAGCACACCTGCGTAGGCGACGAGGGAGAGCAGGTTCCCCATGACCAGCTGGGTGCCGATGGCCCACCAAAAGAAGCCAAAGTAGGACGGATGCCGGAACCAGCCGTAGACGCCGCTCGTCACTAGGGTGTGCGACTCGGCGCGGTAGTGCTGGATCGTGTGGTTGAAGCTCTGCCCCGCCGTGACCATGGCTAGCGAGCGGACCGCCTGGCCCACAACCACCAACGCTAGCCCGACGGCGAGTAGAATAGGCCGTAGGCCGAAGGGGACCCAGACGGCGCCCGGGAAGACGAGATTCGTGAGGAGGCACTCGGCGAAGGCGGTAGCGTGGGCGATGGCGTAGGCGGGCCAGTTGGCAGTGAGGAGGAAGGCATGGACGGTGGCCTGGGGTGTGTTGTAGGCTGCCGTCGTCCAGAACTCGAGGAAATGGAAGAGGGAGAGGGCGGCGAGGAAGAAGGAGAGACGCCAAAGCGGGGAGGAGGTCGAGGACAGGAGAGCAAAGGTCAGGAGGAGGCCGGTCAGGTGAGCTGCGCCGAGGCAGAAAGCGCGGAGTGCGATGCCGGCAAGGGACTTGGGCTGATGGGGGTAGTATTCTTTGCCGGGGACGGGGGGGTCGACGGGGCGGGCGTCGCTGGGAAACACGTTAGTCATGAGTGAGGGGGGACAGTGTCAGAGGCGCTGATGTGAGGATGGGATGGTGTGGGAGAGAATATTGAGGTGGTGAGGGAGGGGTTGTCTCATGGTGACAGCTTAAAGGCTCGAGGGCTGATAGTCAAACGAGGGGTTTCATGGGCTTGCATGAAAAGATCGCGATGGCGGGGCTCGTGGTGTTGAGGGGCAGGAACGAGTGAAGGGACCCCTCGAGGGGCACTTCCGCTGCGGTGGCCACACTGCGCGAGGGGAGAGATCCCGGGCGGGATCAGGGAATCGACGGGGAATCAGGTTGGACCAAAGGGAGGAGAGGCTTGGCAGGGCTGAGTTGGTAGGGGATGACAAGGACGGGACAGGACAGCAACCAACTTACACCCGGCGGAAAGTCGACATCGTAGCGGCGGCGGGAATTTGTGATCCGATGTTGTCCTTAAGGCTTGGCTGGCCGAGCGAGCCACCTGGGAGTAGTGGGCCTGAGTTTTTTTTTTGGGGGGGGGGGGGGGGGAGGCCGCGGGATGCGGTTAAGGTGGGCAAGAACGGAAACGTAAGTCTGTAATCGAATTTCTCGGTCTGAATCTCAAGTGACAAAAAAGGACAGACAGGCAAGGCAGGGGGAGAAGGGTGGAGCGACGTCAGGAAACAGTCGTGTGGCGGCGGCTCTAGCTCCCAGGTGCCGGCATTCCAACACCACCTGCGTTGCACAGACGGACGTTGGGACGAGAGGGTTAAGAAAAAGCTTGGCAACACTGATCCAACTCTGGTCGGCTCTCTGATCAAAGCGTAACACGATACGACCAAACCGGGTGAGTAATTCGGCCACCAGAGTACGACGCGTAAGGACACCTCGGATGCGGATGCGAGTTCCTGCGAGCGTCTCTGCACTGCAAAGAGCCCATTGGCGTGGACTAGGTATTCGTCGTCGGGTCCGAGGAAGACGCGGCTGCGTGGGGAGAACGGAGAAAGGAGAGTCCGACAGGGGAAACGGAAAGCAATCCGAAAAAGGAAAGAAGAGCAAAGGAAGGCGGTCGGTCTAGAGTTACCCCCGTGGGCTCTGTGGAGACTGGATAATAGTACCCAATCTTTTTTGTTTTATTTCTCCTTTTGCAGATCCCCCGCTTCCCATGCAATTTGGATTGATCTTACCAAAAGCAAAGGGTAAATGAATAAAGAGAGGAAGACAGACAGACAGACAGAGAGACGGACAGAAACAGATATTGACTCCTAGTAGTGAATACGAACAATACAGTTATCCTCTCGCTACACAAGCACACATTTGGAGGGGAGGGACGAAGGCATAGCCTAGCAGTTGTAGGCGGGTAAGGCCAAGCGTGAGCGCGGGCCGAGTTTGGGGGGGGCGGGTGACGCAAGTGCGTGGAGCAGCTGCCCACCCCCCCATCGTTGTCGTCGTCGTCGAGCTTGCTCGGCCCCGAGACTCGAGATGAGATGGGATACGCTTTGGTCTGCTGTAGTCGTCGGTGAGGGGGGGCGGCAGCAGAAGCAGCACCACCACCAACCACCACCAAGGCGCTGACGACGAGCTGTCAACTTTACCCTTGAATCCCTCGGCTTCACCGACAGCTTTTTGCTCTACACGGCTTTTCCCTCGCCTAGTTCTTGCTTGGAAAATCGCTCTATTGGTCACTTGATACCTCTACTTCAGGCCAGGCGACAAATAAACTACTAAGCTAAGTCCTAGCCTGGGAACGGCCGGCATTGACATCCGAGATTGTCTACGCTTAACAGCTCATACCGCACCTCTGCATCAGGGCATCCCCGTTATCCATTGGAGCGTGTCATTTACAAAAAGTCCTGGGGACCTGCTCCAAACGTCCCTTGCCTTTCTTTGCTCCTCGCTTTCTCGTAAAACCAACGCTGCTAGCCTCTCGTTTTCGTCACACCCGGTCCCTCAGAGAAGCCCGTTGCCCGTGAAATCTCACCCGCGCCGGCCCGACCATGAGATTCACGCATACGTACCACGCGCACACACATACGCGCTGTTCCGGCACCCAGCAGTCGGCCATGGACACCCACTCCATCAATAGAGAAGAGAACCGGAGGCACATGAGGAACGGCGAGCTCTACTGGGCCTTTACCCCAGATCTCATTGCGGACCGGAAACGATGCAAGGCGGCATGCGGCAAGCTCAACTCCGCCGGTGATGTGAGCCGCCGCACACTTGTCGGCCTCTGGAAAGAGTAAGTTTGCCTCTTATTTTTTCCCAGTTGTGACTTCTTGGGCACTTGGCGGACCCCTGTCTTTGTCATTGAGGAATTTGATGGCCCTGTCCTGGAGAGTATGGACCTAACTCGGAATACCAGCATCAACGGCGACACGGTCCCTCTTCCTCCAATGCGTGCCCGCCGGGACGAGGACAGTGCCCTGCTCGAGAACTACCCGTGGATTGAAACCCCCATAAAGATGGATTACGGCTACAACGTAAAGTTCGTACACCCCCTTGTCCCTCACACACAGTCAAGTGGAGGGCTTCGTGGTGTCACCGTCTCTAACCATAACACAGGCTCGGCGAAAACGTGTACATCGGCTCCAACAGCACGTGGGTAGACACCTGCCTCATCACGGTGGGCTCACGCACTATCATCGGCCCCAACTGCTGCTTCTACAGCGGCGAGCACCCACTAGACCCCTCCTTGCGCAATGGTACCCATGGACCGGAGAGCGGGAAGCCCATCACCATCGGCGACGACTGTTACTTGGGCGGTAATGTTATCGTGCTGCCCGGCGTCACCATCGGGCGCGGTGTGACCGTCGGTGCAGGGAGCGTCGTGACGAAGGATGTGCCGGACTATGTGTGCGTCGCCGGCAACCCGGCGCGGGTAATCAAGAAGGTCACGCCGTCGGGCGCCGGGTCGACGCCAGCGTTGTCGACCAACTTTAATTACACCTCTACTATGTAGTAATATTATTTTGTTTCTCTTCGCATGCGTGTTACCGGTCGGCTCATAGACCACCTTGGATGGTGAAGGACGCGATGATGAGGACGAGGACGTTGATGACACCCCAGAGCAGCGGAATCCAGGTCGACATGGAGAAGAAACCGGCATTATAGACCGCGCCGAGGCTATATAGAAAGAGACAAAAGTCAGCCCCCCGCTTCGTCATCTACCACCTGGCGGTCCGAAGACAGAGACTTACATGAGCCCAACGACGCTACCCGCGACCAGGGCTTGTACGCCGGACACGATGAGATACAGAAGCGGCACCGCCCAGAGATATGTCAGAGACCCCCGCTTATTAGTGTGCATGGCGATGGTGATGGCCGCAGCGCCGAGGTGCACGACGGCGTAGATGATGATGGTCCATAGCACGGTAAAGCGCCAAATGTCGCCAATGTGAAAGAGGCTCCAGCGATGATCATCTGTTAGGTCCCTAAGCTGCCAGTTGATGCCGGGGAACGAGGGCGTATGGTAGTTCTCGGGCGGGTAATTGCGTGCCCTTTGTGACATCGCAACGGTCTGTCTGTGTAGTAGGTAGGTTGGTTGGAGTGGAGAGACGCGGGTTCGAGATGTCGTCGACACCCGCGGTTGACGGCTCGGGAGATAGGTGGGTGTCACTACTGTAATAATCGCACTGGGTTAGCTTGCTTGCCGCTGAGCCCGCCGAGGTAGGTTGCTGTGGATCTTTGTCATATGCATTTGGTGCATCTAGCAGGAATATGGATACTTCGGTCCATGTACTCCGTACAGACATTATTATGAATATAAGCATATATGAGACTATCCACAGTCATACATGTTTCTTAGGTTCAACAAACATCCTTCGCAACTGCCGAAGCGCCAGATGCGATCCTCCAGCTTGTCGTACTAACCTGATGTGTACAACGCTAAACTAGGTACTCAGCACCAAATTGATAGAGGTAATCCCAAGATTAACGAGCTCAACCCGATCCCAGACCGGTCCTGCAATGTTTGAATCTACCCCATCATCAGGGTACCATATACCTATCCGATGCAAGACTTCAAGGGACACACGGTATCTTTTTGGGGGCCTCTACTTCGAAGATCTCCACGCCAATCTAGAGGGAGTTGTTGGAGAAGTAGAATCGCAGAACAAATGGCTATCACGTCGATGTGGGGAGGCGAACGAGCGAGGGACACACCGCTTGCCACTCCCGTTACCATTACCAAGGCAAGCGCGTTCCTCATTGTTCGGCCCCGACTCTTTTAAGCCCATGCTCAGCTCCATGTCCCCGTACATTCGACCTACAAGAATCAGTAGATGATGCCTTTTCATAGAGGATCCACATCTCTCTCCTGCGCAAATCTGGACTGGTAGGATTATGCCCTATCCCGCATCTCAAAGGTTAGGGTAAGGGTCTTGCTGGGGGATCTTCCGATGTCAGGTAAACTAGGATAAGAACGGGAGCTGAGTCAGTGCTTCACCCAGTGTGCCTGTAGCTGTTCAATCATATCGTCAATATAGCTGAATGTGTTTCCGCTTACGTACATGTTGCTTTTGCCACATATGTGGACGGTTCAATAGAGGCTATTTGTGTAGTGTACTAACTGTTGCTGTTGTCCCAGCCCGTCGATCTTCAGGTGTTGTGGGAGGTCGTGCAGGGATGGCGCAGCTCTCGGGAAAGCTTGAGGCGTGGCTGTAGGCCCGTTTTCAGGTGCCTCGGTAAGTCGCCCGCGCCTGACGGAGACACCCTGCCATCGGTGTCAATCACAGCCACTGCACACAACCGACTATCATCCGCGGCTATCTCATCATCCGTCCTGCAACCGACTCGATTCCTTGGGCACGCTGCTTACGATTTCTCGTATATCGATAATCGCTAAACGACGCGCCCGCACAGCGCACAGCGCACGATGCCGGCCGACCGGCTCCTCAACACGGTCTTGCAGCTGTACCAGAACGTCCACGATGACCGCAAGACGGACCAGATCATCGGCTCGACAGTGAACCTCCTCGCGACTCTCTCGAACCCGCTGAATCTTGGGGTTCTCACCTCGCAGCTGCTTATCGCACCGGCCATCTGGCACCGCCGCGAGGGCCTCCAGACGAGCCTGCGCATCATCTCCATCTACAACAGCGCAGCGATCCGGGTGCGCCAGAATGAGCTGGACAATGCCAAACTCGCGATCCCCAACGCTCCGCGTCAGGGCGGCGGACTCAGCTGTGATACGTGGGTCAGGGCCGTAGTCAAGGGCGCCGACGAACGTTCCAACCGGTGGCAACATCTGCTGGTCCTGACGGGCATCCTGATGGGCATGGAAGGCAACGATAGAAAGTCGCTGTCGCGCGGTCTGAGAGATACTCTTGAGGAGGCGGTCGTGACAGCCGCAAATTTGGCGCTGGAGAGCCAGGACGGGTCGTTTGCTTCGGCGTCGATCGTGCTTGCGCTCAACTACGTCTTCCCGTTCCTCTCAGACCTCCACCAGAGCGCGATCAATTGCAACGCGCTTCTGCCGATTGCCGTTCTGGCTATCACGGGGGAGGACGGCTTCCAGGACGGGCGGTTCTTGGAGGACATCAGAAGAGATGTCAGACAACACGGGCAGATGGTCGAGTGGGCCCCAAATACCTCCTCATTTCAGCTGTTGCAGCTAATCGAACGCAAACCGCTGATGGGCGGGATGGGGCCCTTGTCGAGGCTGACAGCCTTTGCCGTCTCCAACGCGACGGACTCTGCCATCGTCCTTGAGGCCCAGGACTGCCTCCTCGAGTTTTCGCAGAAATTATTCCAGCAGTGGCAGCGCAATCCGTTATCAACATTGGACGCCGCCGAGGAAACGGTACGGCTGGAGCCCAACACGCTGGAGGCTACCTGGCCGATCTTGTGGGGGACGCTGAAGAAGACGATGTACGCGACGGTCGCTGTTATGCAAGCCGTCATCGGACGCAGCCTGCTCGACCCCCGCATGAGGAACGACGCCACGGCTCCCCAAGTCGCCACCAAATCATTGCACACCCTACGATTCTTGTTCTTCATCTCGTCGAGGCACGGAGCCGGCGCGTTTCAAGCATACACATTCACCTATCTCACATCCCTTGACATATTGGCACGCTTTGGAGACGCGTGTGTGTCCTTCCTAGGCGAGACGAAGCCCCCTCATGCGGGAGCAGTGCCTCCTAGCCCGCTAGACCGGACACTGGACCTTTTTTATATGAACGTGTCGGAGCACCTGCCCCTCAACATGCCCACTGAGGCCTGTGACAGCCTCATCGTCCGGCCAGCGACCGCCTATCTCACTCACATCGGCACAATGACGGCAACCATGGTTGAGCTGTTTGAAGCTGCTCACAGCGCTGTTCTTTCGGTATTGTCTTGCCCACATAACGGCCCCTTGACCGTCAGTCTCGTGCCGTTCTATATCGATGCTCTTTTTGCATCCTTCCCTTCACAGATATCATCACGACAATTCCGAGTGGCTTTCAAGACAGTCATGCAGATCGTCTCTCCGCCATTCCCGATCTCGCTCATGGAACCGCAACTGTCCGAGACATTGCTCGAGATGGTGCGCTTCAAGGCCATGGACGCGAGCACCACTCTCCTGCCTCAGACGCAAGACGTCATCGCGCAAAGCGAGAAGGGCCTCACGCCACAACAAGAGCCCCTCTCCGAGCAGAGCTCGCTCATCCTGACGCTCATCGACTCGTTGCCCTTCCTGCCGTTGCCGCTTGTGGAAGACTGGATGGCCCTGACGGCGCAGGCGATGAACGAGATTTCCGACCCCGCCATGCGCCAGCCTGTCAAGGACCGTTTCTGGGAGGTGCTGGTCAGCGGCGAGATGGATGTCGAAAGGGCCACGATTGGCGTCGCATGGTGGACCACCAAGGGTGGGCGGGAGTTGGTATTGGGGCGGGTTGTGCAGCAAGTCCCCATGATGAGTGGTGCGATAATGGACGAGAGCAAGTCGAGTCGGTTGTGAGAGACAGAGAACGGGGGGAGGTGAGATGAGCTGCAACGTGTAATTGTATTGCACATTTTGAGCGAGCATGAAATGATGAACGACGTTGAATACAACAAAATATTGGAAAATGGGAGGCTCGAACCTTGGCCCTTGAGGGCGGCCTACGTAAGTTACCTAAGAAAGATGGCAGGACCTCCTTGACCCCTCGACCACCTGGCACTTTCCGCCCCAGGAAGGCGCGATGCACTCGCGCACGTGGGGCCGATCGCGTGGTGGGGCCGGGAGACGGGACGGAAGGTACCCACAAGTCCAACCGACGACACCAGACCAAGTCCCACCACGGACAGCACAAGACCACGAGGTACATCTAAACACGCACAGGGGTCCATAGGAATGATGTGTATACTGTGGTAGCCACACGTCAAGAAGTCAGGAGAAACTACAAAAAAGAAAGGCTTCGCTGGAACATGCTGGAACATGAACTCACCTCTGCCGCACTCAGCGCTGGATCTGGCCCCGTTGCCTCAAGCCATCCCTTCGAAAACTGAGGCCATTGTTGAAGAATCCAGAGAGATTTCTCAACCAAGTACCCTATTCTCTTCTTGCGGGCTGGGTCTGGCGGTTCGAAAGTACACAGTTGCAAAATAAAAATCAGAACGAGAAGCCCGCAGATGGCGACAGTCAGTCACTGTTGGCACCTTCTTGGGTTGAGACGGGAGGAAGACTATGCAGTATTAACAGAGGTATGATGCTATCTTTCATTTAATTGTCTTTGAATTCTTGGGTCTGAATCAATCAGTGTTTGTGCTTGCTATCTTGAGCCTATCGCGATGTTTTCCTCACGCTGTTACTCCATGTGCATCGACCTCGCGATCTCCTCTACCACGCGCCTGTTTTTCTTCACCACTTTTGGATGCCGTGACCTCCCACTATCGAATATGTTCCTTTCTACCGACTTTCAAACAGTCTGTCAAGTCAGCACACATATTATGAAGGACCTTCTAACGAGGGTGAAAAGAAAGTCTTACAGAGCCATCGCGGACTCCTCGGGATAGGACTTTCCGTTCCTTCATCTCCAGAAGGACGGCCGGACATCATACCAAGCCCGCAATTGCTGCACCAGCCGCAGAAGGCTATTGTAGTCAGGGACGTAGTCGGGGTCCTGGTAGAAGCGATCGGGGTCCGGCATGAGGGGATCGTTGGCGGCACGGATGATGGTGGGCATGATGAACTGAATCAGCGGCTTGTCCTCCTCGCGCACGCCGCCGATCTTTGCGTGAAGTAGGCGTCTGAGAGCGCCTTGGTACTTGCGGCTGATTTGCGGCGGCGGGTTGAGCAGCGGATTGACGACCTCGACGGGGCTGGAGGCGCGGAGTTTGGTCTTCATCTTTGGGGTTCGTCGTGTATTGGTTCGAGGCGAGAAGTCAGCTTTGTGGTAGGAAGAGACGAAGAGCTCCGGTATCTGTTGCGTCAGCTTGGTAATGGCATCTAGAGTATGTTTGAGAAATGTCTTTCAGGTGGGAGGTAAAGGGTTCATTTGTGGAAGATTCCGGGTGGGAAAGTGCTCACCGCCCAGATATCCAGTCAAGGCAGTCGCGGAGGTTACGTTTTACAGCGCTCCTTCCCTCTTCCTTCAACACATTCCCGCAGCTTATTCAGGGGACCTTTTCGACCCCAGAAACGTGCCTCTGACACTCGAGGAAAATCATCATGATGGAAGAGGAGAGCTTCTTTTCTTTCACTTGTTGTAGTAGTAGATATTCTTTATTCTCGAAAAGGTCCCCTGAATACACAACACCACTGTCTAGAAAAGACTATCAATCCTCTTCTGCTTTCCCTCCATCTCCACGCGTGTAATAAACGTGTCCGGGCCAGAGCCCTCCGTGAGCATATGGCTCGTTCTGAGATAGTCGTTGCGAAAAATGGCCCAGAGTTCCTTGTCGCGGTCGTCCGACTGGTTCGGTCGAGGGTAGTAAGGATCGTTGAAGATGAAAGCCTTGACAAGCTTGTCGATGCCGGCTTGATCATCCTGGATCAGGGTACACCTAGATTAAAAGCTAGTCGCGATTTTAAAGAAGCAGAATTTTGAAAGGTGACTTACTGGTTGAAGTCGATTACCCACATTTCCATAGATCGGTGGTTGAACTCGAAATTGGTGGCCTCGCACAGCTGACGCGAGGTCATGGTCATAACATTCTCCGGGTGTCTAACCTGTGCGGGAGAGCTTCCTAAGACAAACTCGACATCATTGCCGTCTACCATTGCGCCCCAGTGTACGATAGCCAAAGTATTGGCCATGACGCTCGCAAAGTGGGCCGTGTCGAGACCCAGCTCCTCCATCTCATTGACATGGAGGGGGAAGTTCTGTAGCTTCAGGTTGTGAATTCTGTCCTGCTTCCTGGTCGTGTGACGCCTGCCAAGATACATACGGATCAGGCAGTTCTTGTTCTCGGGTTTGGCGAGGAAAGCCTCCTTTTGACGACTAATGGTCATGGGCAAGAGAGCGTCGACAAGTGCCTCCCTGACAGAGAGGGGGGCGGGGAGCACACGCTCTGACATCAACGCGGATTCTCTAACTTTGACGTGGGAATCAAAGAGAAGTCCGTATTCGGCCCAAAATCTCGATTTATTATCGTGCCAAGCACCGAGTTTGGGGAGCCTGGCGCTGATTTCGTGGCTTGGGTCATGCTTCTGCATTGCGAGCTGAATCGTGTGATGCATGCGGTAGTCGGTAAGCAGTTCACCGACCTTTGCATGGGCGTTGGCCAGCTTCGCGATGTCGGGGCTGCCGAGCAAACCGTACACCGTACCACATTGTCCCCTGCCGAGCTCCTCGAAGTGTCGCAGTTGGAGACTCGCGATGGCCATATTATTGATTGATTCTGAGAGCGAGGACACAGAAGCATCAGTCCGATCGCTGGCGCTCAACTGTCTGCGAGACATATTGGTGAATGGAATGGGATGACGTGGGTGTGGATGGGATGATGGGATGATGGGATGACGTGAATGTGGGTAGGATGATGGGATGATGTAAATGTGGGTGGGATGATGGGAGATGATGGAAGATGTGTACTTTCCCTAGACCTGAACAAAATAGAAGGTTTCTGAACAGGAGGAAGTACCATGGAATTTGATAACCAACTCTGCCTTCCTATTGAGGGTAGGGGACCAAGGTACGGTAACAACATTGGGTGTATATAAAGGGGGAAGGCACAGAAGAGAAGTACAAAGTGAAAAGAGCAGGAGAGCATGAGACTTAATTCGCTTGGGGTTCCTCAGTAAGCTCGACTTACCAGCTACCTGTAGTTGGACTTAGTATTAGAAGGGAGGGAGCTTTTCTATATGTTTACTGTTATATAGATTGACTATGGTATCCTTTTGCTTTTGGGCCGACTTTAACCTATCCGTACTTATTTGGTTTCCTTCTGCGTTTTTCTTTTACCCATTCGTGTCGTCTTGTTTCTTTTATCACAATTTGGGCGTTTTCATAGAACTTGTTCAAGACTTAACACCTACCACAGCCTGAACAATGCCTTCATAATTTACCTGATATGTTCTGATCCACTGTTAACCCAGAGGACGTCCTAATTAAATATAAGAAGTACAGCTTTCTAGATGAGGTAGACTGATAAGAGCGCATGTAAGGCTGCATGTATTGATGGATGTAGTCGCTCCAAACCCCCATAAGTGGTCTAGTGCAGTTCACCCGATACATATGTAATATCACGGTACGTAAAACCCGATACAGGGCACCTCTGACCTGTGTCAGACCTCAATATCTTAATACGGTGTAGGATAGCAGGTGTAGAGCAACTGCCGGATCCGACTTCACTTCAGCCATGGCTGCATAGGCGAACGACCTTTAGGCGCCGGAACGTCGGCGGCAACCTGCACTGAACGACGAGGGCGTGACTGACATACCGGCGATGATGGTATTGTCGAACCTACCACCAAGGTCGCGATGGTTGCAAGCCACACGACGACTCCGAACTCTGCCACCAAGGTCGTCGAAAACCTTACGCCTCAAGTTCCCTCCTTCCATCTCATCCATATCCTACAAACGCGTACACAACCGTACAGCCTATCTTGACTTTGCCCTCACAATGCGCTGGCGATTCTTGGTATAATAGGGAGAGGCGGATAGAGATATGAAGACGGAAAGCAACCAAGGTTACTGCTGCTACTGGTAATACCCGCTTTTAGAGTTTCCATCTACCAGAGTCGTCGACAAAGCCCAAATAGCCGTATTCGATATAAATGAAGCAAACACCATGGCCTGACCCATCTATCCCAAGTCGTGTCGACAGCACAATCCCAAATTACAAAGGCCAAGGACATCGTCCTAGGGAGTCTACGACCCATGCGCTTGGCTCAAACCACCGGGCCCTCTCATGGAAAGATCCAGACCGGACACTGACCAAGTTGGCCACTTTCCTGCCTGGTTCCTAGAGGAACTTGTCCATGCAACGTCACGGCCTCCGTGAAAAGCCATCGCCGCCTCGTAAGATGTGCCGAGCAATATACGCAACTCCCAATGACCACCCGGCACGCTCCTTGGCCCGCATCCTACTCGCCCAGCCAGTCCGCCAGGTCACCTCCGGCCCAGGCCCAGCACCAAAACCCCACGCCCGCCGTTCTGAACCCCTCTCCCACCCATCTCCGCGGCGCCGTGCCGTGCTCCCCAGTACCAGGCCACCACCCAGTCCCGTTCTCTTCTCTCTTCCGTTCTTCCCCCTCGCACGTTCCATATAGGCGAGCTCTAGCGAGCCATCGTCCCAGAGAGGTAACCCTCCCACGCGCCTCGCATATTCGTATCCCTCCTCTCTCATCATAGAGTGCGAGTTACGTAATTCCCGAACAATCACCAGTGGAGAACGTGACTCTGTGTAAAAACCCCTCTTCTCTCTTACTGGGCAGTGTGGCTCTCCTCGGAAACCCAAACATAACTATTAGGCGATTGCTCTCCACTTCCCTGTCACAACGGACGGGCAAGCCCACATCGAGTCTCTCTCTCTCTCTCCCTAACCATCCTCGAGTTCTGTGCACGGGTTCAACGGGAAGAACGGGCGATCAACCAAACAACTCGGGGCCGCCCCCAGGTTCTTGTTCCGTCTTCTCGTTTTTCTAAACTAGCAAGAGTTTCCTAGCTGGAGGATCTGGGGTCGTCGTCAGGGAAACGGCTGCATACATCCACATCACGCTCCCAATACACCAAACTGTCGGTGCCTCTCCCTCCTCTTCCTCACCCCGGTCAGGTCGCCTGACACGCCTTGGCCCCTCCCCCTCCCATTTCACAGCCCGAGTCTAGACCCCCTCCCGATCGTTCGTGGATGAGAAGCGTGCCTCAGGTACGCCATGTTGTAATGCCTTGCCAGCCTCAGCGCTTCAGACATAACTCTTACTAACACGTTGCGGTGTATGCCCTCCCATTGGCCCGTTGACTCATCTTCCGGAAGGCCCCGGGCTACGTCTGCCATGGAAGCCACCTAGGTTTTGCAAATGCACCTCCTGGAACCCCGTGACCAAGAAGATCCGGGAGGGGGGGGGGGGTGCTCGCCCAGCCGGCGCGCCCGTCAAGCCAGGGCTCCCGGAACATTCAGCCCCGTTGATTACCCAAAGGTCCAGATCGGCGCAAACGGGAGCCATACGGAACCCAACACGGGCTGCAGAAGCCAGGTAGTCCAGCGTGCGTAAAAAAAGGGTTTGGATCAGGCACGGCGAGGGGGGCAACGGGGGTATGAGGAACGACAGCCAACGCCAATTCTAATCGTTCGCTCGTGATGTATCATTATCTGGGAAGTAAAAAAAAAAAAAACTGTACAGTATTGAACAATGGACCAGGTCAAGGTCCTTCGGCCCGTGGCTCGATTAAGTCTTATCCAAGGAATCGGGGCACGAAACCGACCCTGCGACAACGAAGAGCCACTTCACTCACTGGGAGCAAACACACCAAGGCCCAAGTAGAGAAGAGAATATGTGACTTTTGAGACCAACAGAAATAGACAAAAACTTTTTTCCCCCATACCATCAGCTACTGTGATGCTGAAGAAAACGCCTTGAAAACAAAAAAACTTGGCAGGCTCTCGCGTGGCCCGCCCTTACAAAACAAGAAGACCAAGTACTGCAGGCCGCCCAACCTCCCGTGGGGTATCCCCGCCGCCCAGTTGACATGTCCCTTGCTTGCTGAAAGATCAAAACATTTTTGTGGTACTTTTTTATGTCGTGGTCGCATTTCCCCCTCTTAGATGGCCGCTCGACGCCGGTATTGAAGCCATCTTGAGAATCATTTCCTCCCTATTGCTCCGTCGTGATGAAGGATGCTGCTCATATGCTCCGCCCCAGAAAAACAATCTCGCCGTCCGAATGCTGGTGTCGTGTCGTTTCGGGTATCGAGTATTTTTATCGCTCGTCGCCACCTCCCATTTCACATGATTACTTCTTTTTTGATAAAACAAAATACGACATGAGCCGCGACGGCCGTGACGAAACATGTACAAAACCCCCTCATCTTCTCTTGTCAACTAGTGAAAAGAGTCTCGATCTTGACTGGTTCCTTTCCAGGGAGCCGTGTCAATGGCTCTTGGTTGGCGTGTGGGGTGTCGTGTGGGGTGTGGTGTTATCGCATGTTGCTCGTGTCGAAAGAGAACTGTGACGGGAAGGCCATGCTGGCGCTCAGTCCAAAGGGGTCCCATTCCATGCCAGTGTCCAAGAGCTGCGTCATGGAAGGATATGCACCCTGGCTCGTATGGGCAGGCTGCGTGGATTCGCCCTGAGATGGCATGTGCTGGCCGTGGCCAACAGAATTTGGGGAAGGCATCATCTGTTGCGGCGCATCGCCGGAGAAGCCGTTGGGATATGGGCCGGGGCCACTTGGGGCATCGATCTCGGAATCCTCAATCATAGCTGCAGGAGCATCATATTCTTGTTCTGGGCTTTGGTGTTAGGACTAGGACAACAGAGTTCCGTAACGGGAGGAAAAGGCGGCTTACCTAGCTGCTCAATGTGGTTCTGGAAGCCAGGTGACGGATAGTATGAGCCGGTGTTGCCAACTCGAGGAGGACCGCCGGACATCATGTGAGCTCGAGCGGCCGGGTTCATGGGGCCCATTGGGCTGAGCTGGGACTTCATGGACGATGCTATGCCTGGGCGAAGGGGACCGTGGTCGGAGGCCGCCGGCGACAGCGCTGGCTGACTGCCATACGCCGCCGTGTTCGTGGGGGAGTTGGAATGAGACGATGGCGTAGGTCGGCCCTTGGGCGACGCGACCGAATGAGCAGCCTGTATCGGCGGAGGCAGGCTGCTGATGCCGGGCTCGAGCTTCGGGGCGATGCTCGAGTGAGACCTTCGCGATTGGTGATGTCTATTCAGGATGGCACGCTGGATGGGTGGAGGCTGAACCATGTTCTGGGGAGCATGAGTCGGCCCCAAGTTGGGACTGCCGGTTTTGGCTCGAAGCTCAGCCTGGACATCGATGCCTGTGATGGGTTGTTAGCAGAGGATTCATCCATGTCATGGCACGATATTGACGCACCCTTCTCCAAAAGAATACGCTCCAGCAAGGAGTTCTTGTAGCGCAGCATCAAACACTCATCGGCGGCAGTCCGGTGAGCGGCCTGGAGGTTATGCAGGTTGGACTCGTGGACGCGGATGGCCTCTTCGAGCTGCTTGATGTACTCAGTGCGGCGCTCGCGAAAAGCGGCTTGGGCCTGGCGGTTTCGCTGCTTACGCTCCTCGGAGGTAGCGTAGATCTTGGGGTCGCCCGTTAGCCTTCGGCCGGGCGAGAGATAGGATCAAACAAGGTTTCGTCCCAGCGTGAAAGCTTGGAGCTGGTAACACGGACAAAAGTCTGGGGAAACGCTGGTATTGAGAAGAGATGGAGGGGTTTGTCAAGTGCAGCGAGGGTGAAGAGAAGGGATTGACTCACGGGCTTACGGCCGCCCTTTCGCTTGGGCTGCTGATTATCGGTGGCAGCATTGGCGTTGTTCGAGGAGCCGTTGGCAGCGCCGGGCTGATCGGCTTCGGGACTAGAGCCCGTGGTCTCGGGAGTATCCTCCTTGGGAGCTTTGTTGTCGATGGACATCTTATCTGCCATGCCTTATCTCGCCCGGGGGTTGAGGTGGGTGGCCGGTCGGCAGCGGCAGCGGCAGCGGCAGCAAGCACAGGAGGATCTGTAGATAGGACGCCGTTGTGACGTCGCGTGTTCCACACTACCAGCCCTACGATGTTCTGGAAGCGTTGGTTGTATGGGTGTTTGTGCGTGGTTGCGGGCGCAAAGGATATGACAAGCAGGGACGGGGCCGTAAACAATTGCCCGAAAAAGGGAGATCCGGGGGGACAAGATGCCCAGTGGCGCCTACGAGCGCCCGCACGGGAATTGGGGCGAAACCGACAGCGTGGTAGACGGGACCTTGAATGGGTGGGAAAATCTAAGCAGTCGCAAGATAAGGTACGGAGCGGTGCGCAGCTGAGACTGTGACTGGGGGGGAGAGGCATCCAAGCGGGCGCAATTGAGCTTCAGGTGAATCTTTGACAGCTGTTTTCTGCCAGCCCAGAGATAAGGGACGCAGCGATGAGAGGTTGCAGTGTGTAAGGAAATAGAAGAGAGCGACGGTCTTTTATGTAATGATAATAAACTGCCAGCTCGACGGGGGGGCACCCCTCACCCATTCGCCTAGACCCAGACTTGCCAGACACCACCTAACAGGGCCGCCGGCGTGGGAGGTGGGCGTGCAGCGGCGAGCGGGGAGGGGTGAGGAATAAAGGGATGGGTAAGAGAGAGCAACGGTGGTGGGGAGAGAGAAGAGAGAGGAGGGGATTCAGGGAGGAGGGGTGAGACTGGGAGGAAAGATCAGGGAAGGGGGGGGGGGGGGGGGGGGGGGCGTGTGTATGTGTGTGTGTGTGTATGTGTGTGTGTGTGTATGTGTATGTGTGAGGGGGGTGTGGGCTCTGTAGGCCAAGCTCAGCCAGGTTGCGCTCGCAATTCCTGTTCAAAAGGGCGAGATGCTCTGCTTTCGCAACGTTCACATAGGTACGTACGTACGTTGGCTTGACGGAGTCTGCTCGTTTGTATGTCTCTCGCTGTCTCTCCTCTTCTCTTCTCTGTCTTGCTTCGTCAGTGCAAGTGGACCGAACTTCTTCCCCGCGTTTTGGTGCAGGCGTGGTGCCAGAAGGGTTGGTTGTCTGGATGTACAGATTTGCCAACGGCTATTTTTCTAGTTTCCCCCTCTTCCCTTTTCTTTCTGTCTTCCTTTCTCACTCACTCTCTCTCTCTCCTTTCTCCGTTTCTCTTCTCTGTCTGGCCGGTGGGCTGCCTTGACTTTTCCGGAAAGATCCCGGGACGAGTGAGTGGTGATAATGGTGGTGGCGGCCACTTGGATGATATGAGAGGGTAAGGACTTAGATGAGGGGAGAAAGAGGAGCCGCGTTGATGTCAATCTTGGTCTGTTAATCGACAATCCAACAACCAGCAGTGCCAGCGGTATGTTGTGGCACTTCAACGGCGTTGACGAAGACCAGCAGGCAGGAGCAGAACACCGCGATAGTGATCGATCAAAGGACGGGACAGAGGCTGTTGTTGCTCCTCCAAAAGGTTACCTACCCTTGACGATGACGGGAATGGAGAAACCCCTGAGTCTGGTGGGATGGGACTGGATACCGCAAGAGGCCGGCGGCTCAGGTCTTGATCAACTTGGTTCACGGCAAACGACGTGGGTTCGCTGAACAGCGTCGTTCGCGGAGGCTGCGCCGGCGTAGGATCTCTGCCCCTGACAGGGTGAAAGAGGGTCGGTCATTCGTAGAAGCAGGTGTGCCTCGTTTTGGAGGGGGTTTGATGGTGGCTTGCAGCGCGCGGGTGTCGTGTCTGTCGTGTGGTAGCCGTAATGCACGCAACGCTGTCTCGGTCGTAGTTTCCTTCTGGCGGTCTCAACGGCGCCCTCGAGGTATTACCCGTGCTTCTCGCAAAAACCAAATGAGCCAGTTCCTTCTGGTCTCGGAGGTGGATAATCGGTTGCCAAAGACCCAGAAAAGCTTTTGGAACACGGGGTTCGGGGTGGGACTGGGTTGGTTATATGTAAACCACCTACCTACATAGTACGGATACGGAGCATGGTGTCTGTCAAGGCTTTTTCGGGGTGGGTACTTGACGCTGTCCACCAAGGCCGTGCACGCCCCCTGGCAACTGGCGGTTTTTTTTTTCTTCTTTTCTTTTTTTGCACATTAAGGATGCAATGATATGAGGGTTCGCCCGTGGATCAGGGTAGGAGGGCTGGACCGGAACTCGGGGCACTTGCATCGTCCTGTAAACGTACCTGATTAGGACTTGCCCCTCCAGAAGGCTCATCTTGAATCGCGCAAGGAAGACGTCGCCTCGGGGAACCTTGCCCTTGACGGCACCCAGAGCCATCCTCGCCAGATCGCTGCGGCAGGGTGGCAGAGTCGGCACACTTTTGCGCGCCAGACCTGGAAGCTGCTTACAGCGGCTCCATGAAACCCCGATTTTTGGTTCGGACCGCGAGCACTTGTTTCGCCGTTGGCGATGGGTCCAACATATTGGCTTGAGACAGCTCAAGAGAGGGAACACGGCGCAGGCGAGCGTGTTTCCCCCCCCAAGGACAGGACATACCATGGGCCGGCCTCTGGAGAGATTGGGGAGGGAATTGTTCCTATGCACTGCACTGCGACGCGATAGTACTTTCCGCCCATTGCCCTACCTACACGTACTCGGGCCAACTCGCGAGTTCATGGAATCTGCGGGTTGCAGTTTGTCGCAGATGAACCCTAACTAACAGTGATGCAATGGCAAAGTTCCATCAGCACAACCTCCCATGCAGGTGCCCCACAAGCATTCCTTGCAGGTCGACAGGAGCATCACCGCGACCGTCCTTGGCAATGGGGACGAGGTCATTTCGCTCGGGAGAGGCCTTTTTTCCCCAAGACGTCCAACGTCCCAGGCAGACAGTCTCTTCGCGATGGCCCGGTGCAGCTGGCGACTGGTGCAGCCAGCCTAGCCTCTGGGCGGTCATCGGACGAAGCTGGGGCCGGGCCTTGAACCAGGGCGGAGCCGGCGTTCGCGTCGATGAAATTTTCAGATCACCTGAGCTCTAGGCCAGCACCCAGGCGGCGGAGAAACCGCAACCACCTCTGTTGTCCAGTTGCGCGGCACACACACACACACACACACACACACACACTCCATTGCTCCAATGGTGGCACCGGGTACATGTAGCCGACGTACTATTGTCTGGCGGAACGTTCCCAACGTTTCTGGTAATCAGCCTGTTCCGTGGAGTGGCCGCTTACCGTACAGTTAGAACATTTCCAGACTCTTCAGAGTGAAGCTGGGGAGTGTTTAACTCGAGAACGGGGGTGGTTTCCCTCTTGGATCTCAAGGATAAGAAGCATCGGGACAGTGAAAGCGCCCCGGCAAAGGATCGCCGAGCTGGGCCTTTTGACGTGTCTCAGGATAGATCACTTGGGAGGCGGGGTACGGATTCTATGTACCTAGATTGCACCCTCCCACTGGCGGCGCTGAAGCTTTTCGGTCTGAACGACCTACATACAACGTTGGCGTTCTTGAGCGGTAGCGGTAGCGACGCAATGATCAGCATCGGTGCCGCAAAAAGCGTCAGCAAAGCCCGAATGCGGCTTTGCCCTGGAAGGTGAAGAAGAAGAGAAGGAAAAAAAAAAAAAAAAAAAGGAAAAAAAAGAAGGAAGAAACGCCCCCAATGGCGTAGCGTGGTTTGTAGGGGAGGCTCATCCCTGCGACCTGCGCGGTACGGCAAAAGGTTTAGCGGACCGCGCTAAGGAATGCTTGCCTCGGATCCTTGAGGATAAGAAATTTTGCATCTCCGCGGATCGCCTCATGTCGTTGTGACAGCGGGTGTGTGAGCGAGCCAATGGCTGTCGGGCTCTCCTATTCGGCCGTCCAAGAAAGCATGCGTCCGTCCATTGTCGCGGCAGGAACCAAGCAGTCGGGAGGAGAGAGGGTGATTGGAGGTGTTTCGTCACACCCTCCTTCCTCGTTTACGTCGTCAGTCAGGTTGAAATAATTTTCACGTCGCCGTGTTGGACCCCCATTGTTGTATTGTAGTAGTACCTACCTGGGCGGCCTTACATAAGAGAGACGGGACGGGACCGCCTTGGATACGTACCTCTGTCATGCAGCGTTGGAGACTTACTCCAACCACTATTGTTTTTATTTTGTTTTTATTTTTTATTCACACGTCTTGCACCCTGTCCCCTGGCCGACCTCTGCATGCCAGGCCGTGGCCACTGACGTTCATCCCGTCGTTTCCCACTCTCTTCCTTTTTACCTGGGAAGCGGAGGTTCTGATGCGAGCGGCACTTGTTGAGTTGGCAGCCGATCAGACCGTGCGTCCGTCCATGATCGTCCAAGGCAGGCAAATGGTGGGTGGTTAGCTGGGCAGGCAGTCGGTTCATTCGATGGGCTTCCGTCCAGCTGACCCATCGTCCGTTCGGCCAGATTGGTCGGTACTAGCGTCGGATCGAGGTCTGGTGGTCAACTTGGATGGCCCGAGCCCGCAGCAAGGACCCAAAGCGGACATCACTCGGCTTCTTCTAGAAAACTTCTAGTCTCCAACGTGTCTCTCCCCAGGTCCGCGCCATTCCCGCGCTCTGCGTCGGTTCTGGTGGTACCTAGGTACTTGTTGTAGCGTCCGAACAACGGAAAGCCAATGAGTCGGCACTGACAACGAAAGGAAAGGCCCTCAAGAAAATGCCTCTGTCTGGGTTGCGCGGCTTGTTCAGTCGCTCTTGCCCTTCCTCCTTCTCCCTCCAGCGACGCAACTCTCTCATCCCATAGACGAGCCCTAGGGCGGGGGCGCCAACTCGGTGGGCCGCGGTGGAGATGTACCTGCGAGGCTTGTCGTTTCATTGCCTCTTCAGGTCAAGTGTGAGTGGGAAGCTGGCCGCCGGCCGCAGCACCTGAAGCCCTCGGGGAGCGGTTAACAGGCAGACACATTGCGGGGCAGCACTTGAGTCATCAAAGTACCTCTTGAAGTCTCTCGCTTAATCCTGCACAGACCTACGCACAGACCAGCTCACCCTTTTCCTAGAGAAAAAAGAAGAAAACAGAGATATCTCTATCAGCTTAAGGTGCATCTAGAATATAGTAGCACAAATCAACTTTTTAGAGAAATTTACCCCTAGAGGCCTATCCTTAACTAAAGAGTACTTAAGCTATAAACTATACTAATAAAAAAGCTTTTTTTCTCTTTTTATTGACCTAGGAGTTAAAGATTTAAAGTTAGTAGATGAAGTTGGTGGTGTGGAGAATTTGTGACTTAAGAGGAGGTGGGTCAGTACTTTGAGATAGTCTGAGATGCTAAGGTTTGACCCGCAATCTGTCTGCCTGTTAACCGCTACCAGCCCTCGCTCACCTGTTGGATGCACTGCGCCGTTTACGTGGTGGTCAGGCGATGCCTTTTCACCGCCAAGGACAAGTAAGCTATATGACATGTTGACACCAAAGCCGGTGAGATGGTCATCTCCGCAAGTCTGTGGAGAGTGCAGCGATTAGACGGTTGGCCTTCCAGATTGGCGCCTCTTGTCCCGTCAAGATGCTTGGCTTCGATGCTTTACAAACAAACATGTTCGGACTGAGCCCGGCTTCTCTGCCAAAGATGACGATGCCACTGCGCCCGAAGCTTTTGGCAATGTGAAACCTCGCCCGTGGCGAGATGGAAACCCCGATGATTCGAGAAACCTGCTCAGAAGCGGCCCCGATTGTCGTCCTTCTCATGTGGTTCTGTCATGGATGGCGTCATCTGATGTCGAGGGTGGGAAAAGTCGAAACGAATGTCTGCAAGGCAGAAACGCGAAAGGGAGATCGGGCCTTTTTGAATGATTCCCTGAGCCGGCACCCTCAAGGAAGGCCCGGGTTTCTTGACTCAGTGATGTGCCCTCGTAGTGAACGCACGCTCCCGGACAAACTGTGGATCATCCGCTTAACCGCTCTCCCACCGGCTGGGGCCAGTTGGCGCATGGGTCAGGCGTGGCCAGAAACCGCAGTCTTTGTGTGGGTCAACTTTGCCGGCCAGAATACGCGCGTACCGTTTACTCGAGGTTTGACACAAAGGCTGAGTGACATACTCCATCAATAGTTCGTTTTCACAATCCGGTGGCTCAGGACACGTCTCAACGGCTCTTCCTCGCCAGCAAGCAAAGCCGGCGATGCACTGCTGCTCCAAAGACCCACAACTAGATGTCACCTGTTGTGGTATAAGTTCCACATGTGCAGATTCTCAGCTCAGTGCCATCCATTGCAAGGTTTCTTGTATGGAACGCAAATGGCTATCTGGTCGTCGAACCAGCACTCGAGGAATGTTCTCTTGCTTTACTCTTATTTCTCACGGTACGTCCGATGTGGTGTAGTGGTTGGCATACTCTGGCTTCTTGTTCATCAACGCACATTATCTCAAGACGACTTTCTCTCTCACTCAACCCCTTTGATATAGACAAACGAACTACGTAGCCGAAGATGTAATAAAACAAACCCTGTGATAGCTTACAGAGGCAACTTTGGGAATGCAAACGCAGGTATAGGGCTTTGTCCTCGGCCTGTCCCGAGTGTGTTTCCAGGCGAAGTATGTATACTGTTGGTTATGTTTTGAGCCGAATTGTATGTCATAGACATAGGTGAGCATCTGGCGTATGGAAAACAACTGAGCCGCAGAAATCAGGCACTCGGAACTGTCAGAGGCTCTGGCTTAAGATATTCGGCACTCCGTTGCTGCTGTTGCGCTTTTTTCTTTCGCTTCCGGCCCGGCCCTGTCTCCACCATGCCCCGGCCAGGTTCGTCCCGGACCGCTCTGTCTAACGTCAGTCTACCGGGGAAGCCCATCTTTTTAAGTTGAAGATTGTGAATTAATTCCTTTAGATCTTTTAATTAAACTATCATCCTCAGCCGAAGCAGAAACTAAACAGTAAGTTCATGCAGCTGCTACGCATATGATAGATCCTCATATAACTAATAGATATAAGATAAAAAACCTTCAAATCCTAAGTGATGATTATCTGCTAAATGGTAAGCATATATTCTTGGTCGCGGGGCCTCCATGGAGTAGGTTCCAATCTTTGCCATGACCCGGCGAAGCTGTTGGGTGGCCATTCGCAAGGAATTTAGATAGCCAGTGTCTCCTTATCCTTGCCGCGTAATCCGTAAATCTAGCACGTCTCCTGAAAGTGAGATACAATACCCCACTAAGCTGTCGTACGTTCCAGAAACCGCTGCGCCATTGCCACTCTGGAGCTCAAAATGTCATAGTGCAGTAAAGATCAAAGGCATGAAACGATGAACGCGGCTGACTGACACTTATCCCTCGCTTCTGCATAAGAGAAAACCCGATTGTCATGTGAGATACTTGAGAGTTCAGGTGCCTCGTCATAGCAAACTTATTCTCTAAAAAGGCAGGGCGACCGGGAAGGAAGGTCCAGGCCGGTCGGGCAAGCAGTGATGCTCTTCGCCACTGCCTTCCGTGGCATGGACATCCATTTGAAGGTGCCTGGCTGATGAGTCTGTTTTCGGGCCGGTCTTCCAGACGTAAACCCGGGGAAGGGCGGCTATCGTGAAGTAAGAGGCCTGGATACAGGTATCGGTGCCGTCCGGACGACCAGGCTACGACAACGGCGAGGTAGAGAACAAACGATTGACAATTACATCTAACTTACCAGGCCTAGTACCATGCATCGGGAGAGCTGATGAAATGAAGGAAGGCGTAGCTCATGGAGCATGGCCGAATCATGAACAATAAATCCCATGTGCCAGACTGGCATAACTTTATAGAGAGGAAGGACAATGTGTATTTGAAGCAGAATATCACATATGATACTTCACTAGTAGATGTTTATTCACATTTCATACTTCTTGTACCCCCCACCTTCTCGCAACATTCGGTGTGTATGTCAGTTGATCAATTCATCACGTCGGAGCCTCCATTGGCGGGTTTCTCGGGCGACGTGCTGAAACCCGCCTCTCAGTTTCCAAAGGAACGTATACGATTCCATAAGTAAATGTACATCTCGATAGGCCAAACAGCCGCCGGTACGTTCTTTGTTGTACCGCTAAATTAGGATCGTACCCAGTGGAGAGATATTTCCATGGGAGGTATGGGATGGAAGCATTGCCGATCCGGAAGCATCAACCTTCGCCACTGTTGTTTCAATGCGAACGCTTACTGCAAGTGTTTGGTCCCTTCCTCGTCGAATTCTATTTTCTCTATTCTTTCGTGTTCGAGAGGAGATACAGGATGCTGCACCAAAACTTGACTAAATTATTCCATTACGCCTTCCCAGCCTTGTCTCTTTGTAAACCTGGCCCTCAAGTCTTCCCCGGCAAATGGGTGCCAGATGGACGTCGTCATGTTTGGCTGTTTCGGTTGCGGAACACGGATCTGACCGCCTTCGGCATTCGTAACCTCAAAGCCCTGCGGGAGAATATCTAGGAGGCCTCAGCGCTCGACAGAAGAAAAATTGGCCACTCAGACAAGTGTGCAGACCACCTACTAATGGGAAATACACCCTCTTCTTCTGCTTTGGACCCTCGGTTCCTTTGCCGACGAAGTGAGGGCCAAAGAATTCCTCGGCATCCAGCCCTGTTGATGCGGATCAACTCAAAAGAAGTAGCCTTCTTTAAGAAGATAGTTGCGGGGAGAATTAGAAAGTGCCGTGCTATTCATGATACGGCAAATGGATGTTCCGGTACTGTTGAGACAGTGGATTTCTCGGAAGAATGTGATAAATAAAAGGTATCTCCCGCCATGCGAATAATGTCAACGATAATCTCGTTGGAAGATTTGCCGAGAACGAAGAGGCTTTCAACTCCGCGCGTAGATACACGATGAGGTCTACGGAGTTGAAGACGTAAACAAGGGGCCAAGATGACGAAGGAATGGTATTGAACAGGGCACTGTGGACTCCAATGGCCTCGAGCGCAGCCATGTCGTCTACCTTCAGGCCGCGAGAACGCTCAAGAGAGCCGCACTGCTTCATGAAGGAAAGCGTCAAAGGGCTTCGGTCTTCTGGCAAGGAAAAAAACATGTCCTGAACCCCGCTCGCAGTTTGTTCCGGAATGCAATCGCTCTTGGGGCAACCAAGCCAGGAAGAATGTTGATGACAATGGCAAGTATATAACTCTCGAAACCCCTGTACGACTCGACCTGGAAGGATCCTGCTTCCCGGGCTTGTTGGGGCCGCATAATGCCCATGTAGTAGCCGTGATCATGGTGCTCCTGGCACACACATGTGTAGGTCTGGATGGTGAAGGCCTTCCTTCGGTACCGCATCAAGAGTCCGGGCGACGCCCTGCAAGCCAGCGACATTGGTGAGACGGAGCTGTTCTCTCGTCAGGGTGGAGTGAGCAAATCCGTTCCACTGCGACTGGAAAGAGGCACTGTCGTACATTTCTATACAGGCTTCCGAGAGCGGTTATCTTGTGTGTTATGTCGCTGATCAGGGGGCCCAGACTAAGGTTTCGATTTCGAAAGACAATGGATACGAGCTCGGCGTCGATGATAACATAGCCCTTGCCATTGAGCATGGGAGGGTAACATGTGCAAGTCTTTTTCTTTTAACCCCCCAAGCACGGGAATATCCGAGTCGATGAAGTTACATAAACAGCTTGTAGTAGCTATGTTGATGCTTTATTAGTCCTATGAAATGTCCATCGAATGGAATACCAGACTTGAGCACTGATAGCTTCCGTCGGATCGTGGAGCGGCTTCACAGGGGCGGTCCGTCATCCTTCTAAGCCACCTGCCTGGGATGGGTATAATTTGGACTGCAAAAGTTTCGGTTCCGCCATGGGCAGCGATACGCACAGGCAACTAGAGGAAAGCGGGCTCAACAGGTCGAGAATGGTCAAGATTGCTGGGTGTCATCGAAAGGCCTAAGGATCTTAATGCATAACAAGCCGCGCACCAGACGGTTTCTTCCCTTTCGTCGCTGGCTTTGCCTCCCAAGCCGACTGACAGAGAGTAATACTTCATCCGGAAAGACGCATGGTGTCCCACGGAATCGCCTACAGCCTTGCGCTTAATGCTTGGTATGAATGGTCTGATCGGAACCAACATGTTTAGTCATGGTGTTTCTTCCCACTGCCACCCTTCCAAACTATCATTGATAACCCTTGAAAACATTTGCCATGTGGAATTGGAGCGCTTTTATCGCGCAGAAATAGAACGACAAGATACCATAATATTCGTTACAGCAGCATGGAAGCATGGGGATGCTGAGACGTAGAAACCAGGCCAGATACACAGCACGCGTGTGCGGTCTTGGCAGCTCAGGAGCCCAGACGATAAAGCTGAATCCCCGATGCAGGAATCCTCCGCAACTGCTAGCAAGCGGTAGCGCCGACCTGCTGCCTGTGTGTGTACTTGACCGAGCCCGCCGACGTGCCGCTGAACGATTCGAGCCTGTAGCCATGGCAGTGTTCACGTTCGCTTGCAATCCTGTAGGGCGAGTCCGACCGCGATAACGTGTGCCTGTGAACACCACACCCGCGGCGGTTCGAAACGGCACAAGCCAAGTACGGATGAAAGACGTCAGCCCAACTCGGTCGCGGTGGGTGGCGGTGCGGCGCAGCGGGGGTGGCGACACTGCGGGGATGAGGGCCCTCCAGCCCGTGACATCGTCGACGGCTCATCGTCGCGGACTAGCTAAGGTTCATGCCCCTCCTCCCGGGGGGCCGTAACACACCTCCTCCCGGATCCGCTCATACTAACAAACTTGACCCGGAAAAAAGTTCGCGGCAAAACACGCGATCCAGCGATTTGTAAACGACGGCAGACCCTTTTTGATCTCACGGAATCATGAAAACCGAGCGGGGCTCAGCAGCGGCCGTGGACGGCGAGGCCTGCTGCACATGCGCGAAGCTCCTCGCCTCCGTCCCCCGACACAGCACCGCCACTGAGAAGCCACTCCCGGACGACAGGCGACCCGAGTGCTGCTCTCGTGTCATCTGCGGAAACTGCATCCACGTTCGCCTACCCGCGCTCCCCCGTTTTGGAGTTTGCTGACCGCATGCAGAACAACCCCCGTTTCGCATCCTACTGCCCGTACTGCCAGACCTCCTCGGCGCCCTCTGTGCTGCCCCCGAACCTCAGGGACCCGCCGTCGTACAGCTCCTTCCCGCCGATGCACCACGTCTCCTCCGGCGCTCCGGCGGCCCCGCCCCCGCCGTACGCGCCCAGCGCCGCCGACGCACCTCTGGACGAGAAGAGCGGCGGCGGTGCCCCGTCGTCGTCGTCGTCGACCGCGACGCCGCCCGAGGACACCCTCCACTTCCTGGACCACGAGCACGACACCATCGCCTCGCTGTCCCTCCGTTACGGTGTGCCCGCCGCCGTCCTCCGCCGCGCCAACAACATCGCCAGCGACCACCTCTTGCAGGGCCGCCGGACGATCCTCATCCCGGGTGAGTACTACGCCGCCGGCGTGAGCCTGTCGCCACGCCCTGTCGAAGGTGAGGAGGAGGAGCTGCGCAAGAGCCGCATCCGCCGCTTCATGACCGGGTGCAAGGTCTCCGACTACGACGTCGCCGTGCTGTATCTCGAGCAGGTCGGCTACGACCTCGCCGCGGCGATGGAGGCCTACCTCGACGATGAGGCATGGGAGAGGAACAACCCCGTGCAAGAGGGCGGCAAGAAGAAGAGCAAAACCGCACCGCGTGATCGCGGGCCCTTTTGGAGGGGCTCTGCGTGAAAGTATGTAGGGGGGGGGGGGGGGGGGCGAGGATCAGACAGCTGGGATCTTCATGGGGCACTTGGCACAACCACGTGAGTGTTGGTTCGGCGTTAGGGGCATCTGGTATTTATTAGAACTCTTTCTTTTTCATTGGCATCGTCATCATGTCCTGAACCACTATACGGCTCTGTTTGGCCTGTATAAAAAACGCCGCTACCATATACCGTTGTAACGCTTTGTACACAATCCATGCAAATGTTCCAGCGTCTTCCGTCTCTTGCGCGAAAATCGATTTCGGGAAGCAAGCAAACCTGGCCCGTAAGAAGAAAAGCAAAAAAAAAAAAAAAACACACCGCCGGTCAACAGCCCTTAAAAGGCGGACCGTGTACGAATGTCCGAGATTTTCCTCTCAATCTCCCGAACCGAGCGGTCAAGCTCGCCGGCGATCATCTGCTTCTTTTCGCTGGGTAGGAGTGTGTACCTCTCGCACAGGTCGCCATCGATGACGCCCTTGACGGGGACGTAGTAGCCACGGTACATGAGATGGTCTCTGCCTGCGAGGGGCGCATCTTCAGTACGCATGTGCTGCTCGAGGTTCTGGAAGAAGTCTACATCTTCGCGTGTGACGAAAGGGATGAAGACGCCAATAGTGCCGTTGATGCCGCTCCAGAGGAGGACGTCCTGGCCACCGACGACCAGACTCGTCTTGGTGATGCTGGTGGGTACGTCTTGGGTGTAAGAGTGGGCGAGAAGACTGAGGCGGTGAGGGGTGCCGTGCAGGTAGTCCCTGGTGTTAAGAAGGTGCAGACCACCTGATTCGTCATCCGCCTCTTGGGTTGCCTTCTCAGGGCAGCGGACGAGGAACATGTTACCAAATTTATCGCCTCCAGCAACTGATTCGTAGTCGACCATGGTGGTACAGGTGACCCATCGGGAGATGGTGTCATCCACAAAAGGAATAAGCTTGTTGGTGGTGGGCTTGTAAACGACGTAGGTGATGCCGTGCTGAACGTCACCGACGATGATACGGCTTCCTTGTGTGCTCAGTGACACAATCAGCTGAGGGGTTACGTCGGCTTGAGCCTTTCTGAGCATCTGTCTCAGACCCAAGTCGTATATCCTCAAGGTCTTGCCGATTCCGGCAAGGAGTCTTCCTTGGAAACCGAGAAGTGCCGAAGGGGGTTCTTCGACCTTGGTTTTGTGAATAAACTCTAGTTCGTGGCCATCCTCGCCGAAACGGTAGACATGAATGTAGCCTTCAGAGAACTGGCGAGGGTTGACAACCATATCCTTGCCTGTGCCGACGATGAGGAAACTCTCGCTATCCTGACTAGCAAAAGACACGATCGCAGCGCTGACGGCTGCTTCGTTGTTGTCGAGATCAATGGTCTGCAAGACCCGTTGATCCTCAGACAAGGGGTCGATGACACTTATGCATGAAGCCCATCGGCCCTTGCCCTTGGGATAGCCGAACTCGTCAGGTGGGAGGACCCGGGCGTCACCATTCACAACGCCCGGTTCTGCGATGAGCTTTGCTCGGAGATCAGGGGGTAAAGTGTTGTTATCCGCCTCGATGGTATAAAACATGGGGTACTCTGGGTGTTTGAGAAGACGCCTCGGAGTGTAGCTGAGGGGTATCGACTTTTGGGTAATAGTGTCTCCGAGATTCTCAATTGCAAAAATTCTATAGCTTGTCAGTGCTGGCCAAGGCATATACAACCAAAAAAAAAGTAGGTTACGATATGACTCAGTAGGAACAATTGGTATGTTGCGTAAGACCTCATAGCACTTTGGCATAGGATCCCAAATTTCTCATCATGTCATAGAAGGGGTAATGCAGAAAGAAAAGTGCTTACCTCAACGATTGACCCTGAATGCCGACAACACCTTCTTCACACTGCTCACTGCTGAAGTTCCAAACCCATTCGAGGTCGACGTAGTTCAGGGGCGTGACCAAGAAGCCTCGAGTGATGGGATCGGAGTATCCAAGCCATGGACGGGAGCTCAATCCTATGACGCAAGTCCGTCCTTGGACAGTAACTTGGAATAACCGCACCGGCTTGGGGCCAAGGAACTTCTGTCTCGTGTCCGTCAGCTCCCCAGTAACTTCGTCCAAAACCGTACGAAGGTAGACTCCAGAGTGGAGCCCAATGTGAAGGTAGAGGGTTGATCCGCCAGACGACGAGTCATCCATGGCAATGATTGCCAAAGACGATGGAGGTGCAGTCAACGCTTGCACTGACTTGCTTTCGAGCGTCGACTCAGGGTCCAGCGACAAGACACGTACGGTGCTATCATCGCAACCGACAGCCAAAAATGAGCTTCGCAGGCGCCCTTCTGGAACTTCACCCAAGCTCAGACAGGTAACGGTTCCGAACATTTCCTTCTTCTCGTCGTACTCGGCCAAAGATCCATCGCCGTCCATTTCAAAATAGACTATCTCACCCGAGCTGAGAGCAACCGCAACCTGGTGCTCGTTTGTCGTGGCTGCGACAATGGACCGATGCTGCGGTGCTGCCCACTCGTTGACTTGGCCCTGTCGAATATGACGAATGCCTTTGGGGTGGACCTGAATGAGACCATCCTCGCCCAGCAGCTGTGCGGCCAGCGTGGGCACAGACGTCAGGAAGCCGGAGTCACTGACTTCCTCGACAGTCTCGCCGATGCTCAAGACCAGTGTTCCGTTGGTGAAAGACAGCACGATGTAAGCGTCATACTGGTCGCCGCGGTTCAACTTCAACGTCCACACAGCCGAGGGAATACCGGGTAGCTCTGAAGCCACAATCTCGTTTACTTCTAGGCCATGCTTCAGCATCCTGAATGTGCTGCGAGCGCCATTGCCGCATGCCGTATAGATTTGTGGAGCGTCCTCGCCAGTCAGATTGGCCACCTTGCAGTCAAGCAGGGGGTTCATCGAGTCGATACTCTCAACAAGCGCAAGGTTCTCCAGCGGTCTTGGGTGAAAATAAACGGCGTCATATCCGGCCTTGGGATCTGTGGGGAAGTCGTCGCTTGAGAATTCCAGTTCCTCATCGTCATCTCCAAGCTTCTCGAACTGGTAGAACTGATGGTTGCCGAACTGACTTGCGGCATATAAGAAACCGCTCTTGAGAATGCACAAGCTGGATGAGACCGGTATGGTATCGAAATACTTGATCTTGAGCCTCTTAACCTCGCCGGTGGGGTTGCCATCGGCGTCCTCGACCATATCGATGGTGGCCTTGAAGAGGTCTCCGTCTTCGGTCTGAATGAGGAAAAAGAAGGCGCCAGCACTGCCCTTGAGCTTGTGCATCACGCCGGAAACAGCATGACGCTTTCTTGACGGATCTTCCGTCGCACCGCGCCTACGCGGGATCGGTACGCGGAACGCTTCTTGGTTCGAATGTCTATATGTGATGTTCTCCTCGCCACAGACCAAGACTCCACTGGGTCCATCCTGACCGCCAGGAACTTGGAAGAGTAGGGACGCCGTGGGGTCGACTGGCTCAGACCATTTCCTGACGACGTGGTTCAACCCCAGGTCCAACTCGTAGTACACAAGTTGAGTCTCTGCTTCACGAGCCGCCTCTCCCGTAGGATCTTGGTCCGCTTCTGTGTACTCAATCTCAAGCGCAGCAAAGACTGGGTTTGCATAACCGACATCTAGGGCAACCATGGACAAGACAAGGACACCAGGCTTGTGTGCTTCAAGAGGCGACGAGATTGTAAGCTCTGCCTGCGAGTTACGATTGAGAACGTAGACAAGCTTGTTCTTCTCAACTGAGGCGATCAAGCACGCTCTGCCCTTAGGATCGCAAGCCAGATACTCCCCAGGTATGACTCGCCTGACCCCAGACTTGCCGAACGTCTCCAGATGCAGACGCTGGAATCGGTTCTGGGCAGGAATGTACTCGATGATGGTTATCCTTCCAGAGTCAGTCGCAAGAATGAGGTAGTCTTTTGACACAAGGTCAGCAAAGTCCTTTGAAAATCACGCCTCGCTTCCGAAGTCTGTCGACATTGACTGCGAGGACATCTGTCGCGATGGACAAGCTTCTCAATCACTAAGTGAAGCTTCGAATGGGACAATGGGCACGAGACTTACCTTTGTTGCTTCCAGCCAGACGGAACGCGGCCATGGATCGGATGATGCCGAATATGTCGTGGGAGAGCAAAGTGATGACCTTGCCCTGCGACGGGTCCGGGCGGAGCAGTGTCAGCCGCGACCCCGACGCCGTTATAATGTTCTGCTCCTTCGTTCCTGAAAACTGACCCAATACCGCCTGGGTGACATTTGTAGGCGGCTGAAGGGTCAGGGAGTACAGGAACATGTTTGAGGTCGTCGCCATATTTGCAGGTGAGCGCAGATAGCCTGCGCGGCCTCAAGGTTCGAGCTCGAATGGATGGGCGAAGCACGAGACGCGGTGGTGTTTCTGAAGTGTTGGTGGGTTGGGAGGCTGGGGAGCTCTAGCACAAAATTTCAAGAAGCTTGAGGTTCCCACTCGGCGCGCCTGAGACAAGTTCGCTAGGCATGGTGGGGCCGGCGGCGGCGGCGGCGCTTTATTGATCCGAGCTCCTCCAAAATTTCCGGTCGGTAGACATGAGCGAGCTTCCGCAAGTTCCTGGAACGGAAGTGTTCGCGGTATCGTCGCAGACCACGCAACTGGGTTTCCGCCACAGTTGCCGAATATGGAGCCAGCGTTGCGAAGAGCAGCATCCAGCGTTTGTGGACAGTGTTCCGCAATGCTGAGGAGGCAATTGAATGCCAATGGGCTCTCCAGAGCCTCCCCTCGAATCGCGTCAGCCCACTCGATCCGAAGCCTCCATTCCACTGTTACCCGGAAGTCAAAGGCAAACAATGCACCTGCGAGACAGTTCTCTTCGACGCCAAAAGCATCGCAGGAAGCGGCTGCTGTCAAGTTCAATGCCAAAGAAACCCAGACAGCTCCTAAACTTCGACCGGACGATCTATTCCACTCCTTCACGAACTCGCCCATCCCAGAGATCCGCCGCCGTGCGGCTTTCATGAGGCAACATGCGTATTGCCCTCACCCAGAGCACCGCGCCACTCGAGTTCCTACCGTCGCGCCTCACGGAGAGGAGACTCAGTCGTCAACGGGCCAGCTTGCGCCAGCGCACGTCGATTTCGAATGCCCCGATTGCGGAGTCCCCGTCTACTGCAGCAAGGAACACTGGATGGATGACTACGAGGCTCACCTTGAGATCTGTGACACTTTGAAGGAGATCAACGAAGATGACCACGACCTTCGATCTGGCCGCGCGTTCCCCGAGTTCGTCATGGCGGATGATCAGATGCCTGAGGCTGTCGTTAACATGACGAACTGGGATACTTTCATGTACAGCCGCGAGTTCGAGGCCGTAAATGACGAGCGCAGCATGCGTCAGGTTACGAAGATGCTCACATACCCCATCACTATTGGCAGCGTTCTCCACGAGCTGAGCCCCTACAGCATTAAGAAAGGAGAGAGGTTGACGAGCGAGGGCTTGAAGAGTTTGAGTGGTGAGTCTGGCAACACCAACGCCGAAATGGCCTTGGGACTGACGCCGTGATAGCTTTACGGTATACCCTTCACCCTCCCCTATCCGGAAAGGGTACAACTATGAAGGATCTCCGTCCTGAGGCTCCTCCTGTACGGATCTTCTGCCTGGGTGCTCGTGCCGAATCGTCGCTGCCCAGAAACGTCTGGCTCCAGCTCGCGCATCTGTTCCCCGAGAGCAGGGTTCACCTCATCTTTATCGGCCCGGAGAGCATGGCGAACCGCGATGACGAGTTCCCGTTGCCACCGCGAACTCCCGAGAACCCCTTCGGTATGGTGGTCGAAGACCGGATATCGCACAAGATGAAGATCAGCACCATCGTGGACTACTACCACACCATCCACAAGACCGGGTACTTTGCGCCGTACGACCCGTACTTTGACTGTTTCTGTCTTTTCCACCCCGGTTTGGGTCATCCTGCAAGCAGCCACGAGTGGACGGAGACGCTCCCTCTGCTCTTGGAGACGAAACTCCCCATTATTGCCACAGGCTATACCCAGTTCGACATGGAGCGGGACATTGAATGGGTTCGCAAGACGGCCGCCGGCGAGTTCGATGTGCTGCTGGAGCCCGGCGAAAACCTCTTCCGCAGCTTGAGGTGGGACATGAACGATCTGGATCCTCAGGATGTCAGTTGTGGGAACTGGGGAGTATGGGCGTTCCGTGGAAAGAGGTACGCAATGCAAATATGACAGCGATATGATTCAGTGCTGACTTGCAATAGATACGAGACAACCAAGAAGGACGACGAATAGGCGGCAGCTTTATTTACCGGAATTATGAAGCAGGGACGTTGCCTGGCCTGATGCAGGGCCCTGTAAATAAGTGTACTATACTCTTTACCGACATGTGCATTGTACAACAGGAGATGGAAAAAATAAATAAAGACCACGTCGACTCGTATCATTCATTGTGTGTATTCTGAGCAAATCAAGAGAACATGCTTGCTTTCTCCAGAAGCACTGTACACTAAGTGCGCACACGGAGTCGCTTCCATCAGCCACTGCCTGAGTAGGTAGGTGGTTAGCCAAGACATGTGTGCTTGATACCTGGAGTTTGAGGGTGATAGTAACTTTTAGAACTTTTATGTCTGCTTCATGTGAATCTGACTCGCATTGGCAAGACAAACGCATGCGTTGTTAAATCTTCGACTGTGACAAGTGCCAGCGCGTCATATGCAGATGCAGGCTACTCCGATAGGCGCCTTATGTAAGTCAGTCTCTGGTTCTACGAGAAGGGGGCTGCAGCGCACAGGGCCATGGCCGTTGAGGCAACTGCAACGGGAGACCAGCCCCTCCCTGCAACCTGACCGGTGCCGGGGGGGAAGGTCCCCAGTTTCCCGCCCGCCATCACTCGCCCACACAGATCAGCGTCGTCCGAATTCTTGCTGCAAGCCAAAGTCGACGACAGCTCTTTATTTAACCACCATCACCGCCAAAGGGCCATATGCGCCCAACTCCACCCCCGGCAGACCATGAGATTGCGGTTGCGACAAACATAGACGGCCATGGCAGCTGTCGCTACCCCTCGCGCTCCGACGCCGCGCCCCAAGGGCCCCGCGACAGTCAGCTTCGCGACCGATATCCCTACACCTCTGCCAACCCCCGGCACCGACCGATCCCGTCCTCCGCTACAAGGCAACCATTCCGCTCGCCGCTCCGCTCGGTCTACGCCGACAGACTTCCTCTCCGATAAAGCGACCGCTGCCTTCATCCGTCGCGTTCTATGCTCCAAGCATCTGGCCGAAAGAGGGAGGGCAACTCCTGCCCCCATCGAAGAGCTGCTCCCTCCCCTGACCAGCCGCAACGATGTTGATCTGCAGCTATACGCACTCATTTCGGTCATCATAAGGGAATATGTTCAAGTGTGGTATAGCAAAATCACTCCTGATGACACCTTTGTCGACGAAGTCGTCCAAATAATTGCCCATTGCACGAGAGCTTTGGAGCAACGACTACGAAAGGTGGATTTGGAAGGCCTTTTGTTCGATGAGCTACCCGATTTGGTGGACAGACACATTTTAGGTGGGATCATCATACACAGTCCTTCCAATACTTCTCGCTGATAATCGGCCCAACAGCCTATCGCGCGGCGCATGATCCCGTTTCTAAGCCTCCGACAAAGGTAGACCCTCGAGAAGTGTACCACTCGCTTTGCCCTCTGGCCCCTTTGTCGCCCATACCTCGTCCAGAAGACCCTTCGTCTGTCGCGACTCAGCAGGAAAACGAAGCGATATACCGTGAGCTGTTGGTGCAGGGCGTATTGGCCGTTCTCCTGCCAACAGAAGATCTCGAAAACGACTGCCTAACCTCCTTAGTCGGACAAATCTTCTCCGAGCTGATCATTGGCAACGTCCTCGCCAATCGACTTTCGCAACCGTGGCTCATTTACGAATGTATCATCATCCTCACCCGAGTCCTTGAAAAGAAGGAACCAGAACCTATCGAAGGAGGGGTTGCCGGGTCTGCCCCGGCCGGGCCAACATCCGCGGCCCCTAGACTGGTCCGTCGCAACTGGTCCATCCAGGGGGCGTTCTGGTCGTTTGTACAATGGACATTCCTCGCCTTCACATCTGTCCGTCTGCTCATAGCCACCCTCGCTATGTCTTCATCCTTGCCTCCGCGGTCGGACCGCGACCTGAATGAGAAACATGAGATGACTGGTCAAATATCGAATTCGAAAATGTCAAATCCTGTCATTAGTTCGAACGAGGCGCGGCCAGTAAAGACGCCTATCGCCGCCTTCAAGCTATGGACATGCATATCGGACCTGGTCGAAATGGACACCCGCATGCCTTGGTTGAGCGGAATGCTGTCATTGTTACAGCTTGGAGCCATGAAAGGCCCAGGCCGTGTTGCTGGTCTCAACGGAGCCATGGACAGGTAAGCAACTGCCCTTCACTTTGTCCCTCCCCTTTCTGGAACAATCGCGTCACACCGCATGAGGTTCGAGTCACTGGACCTCGGGCCAGCTCCAGTGGGCGGCCAGAAACACCACGTAAGGCAAGTGCGTGAGACGAGACATCCGCTTTCATGATGGTCTAGTGGGCTGCATATCGAGTGGATTTGTTGATGAGGGTTGTTACGGCTTCCAACGTCACGGCTTGGGGTGCATGTAGCAATGTGGCCGAGTCTTGCAGGACCGCGCGAAAAGGCCGAGATATGCTGTGCGACACACTCCCACCCGGCCCATTCTGCGACCCAACCCTGACTTAACCTCTCTCCCCGATTCCTCGAAACATGCAGTTGCATTCCCTGGACCTCGTGGCCTCCAGCCAATCGCAGCACGTTTCGACGTTGCTCGCCTCCGATTTGCTTGATAGGGCTCGCGGGGCCGCGCTCCCATCCACCAGCAAGCCTCATTTACGCGCCCAGGTCCAGCAAAGAACATCACTTTGCAGGGGTTCCTCTCATCACCGTCATCTCTTCACCCGCGCTCGCCTGCGTAGACGCCATCCCGGCAACTTAACCGTCGGCCTTCGCCTCTCTTCGCCCCACTGCCATCTCATTCCGGTTGTGGAATTGGGCACGCATGTCCGGTTCAGAGTCTTACTTCCAAGACCACTGTCAAGATCCAACTCATGAGGCGGCTTGTCAAGGGCTCCCGTCCCTGACCGCCTCTCGATGCTTTGGATCGATGCGGCGTGACGGTCTCGATCACAAACAGTGACTCGACCCGTCCCGAAAACCCCGGGCTGATAGGTTGCCCTCCCCCAGCGGCTAAATGCCTGAATGGCCCCCATGATCCTATGCGAAGCTTGGGTTAGCTCGTTCCGAGAAGACGAGGTGCACCCCGGGCTGGCATGTTACACACCATCTCCTATCGCGAAGACAACCACACGCACAATGCGCGCAGACTTTTCAACAGGCCGTTTTTAGGAGCGACTACGAGATATCGAGGCTTTCCTTCTATCTGGGTTGCGAATGCCTCGCCTGCGTCTTCGTATACTAAACCTGGAGGCAACGTCTTTGACTGGCTCTGCACGAGACTTGCCGCAAGCCCATCATCTGTGGTGGCTAACCCTTGTCCCGCTTCTCGTGTTACCATTGCCCAGCCGTGCCCATCCCTTTCCTGTGTCGTCCTGATTCCTGCTTTCTAGCCCCCTTTGCCCATTTTCCCTCCCGCAGATCGTTGCTTCCCTTTGTCAGTCCACACATGGAAGACCCTGCGACCCCCACACACTGAGCGTTGTGACTCCGAGTCGGAAGTATGCCCAGAACTGACAAAGAGCGCTTGCCGCGTCGAAATACAGGCTCATTTCGCACACTATCCACCAACGCCTCGACGCTGCATACCTGCCGGCCCTCCTCCGTTCTATCCGCGCTGCTCTCTTCCCTAACAACGCACCGGGTGTCTCGACAATGGTGGCCCCCTCCTCCGACAAAGAACTGCGTGCTCTGCGCCGCAGGTGCGCTAGCGCCATCCTGGCCAAAATCCCGCCATGGTTGGCCAACCTGTACCTGGGCGGGCGAGGCCTTGGCCTCCGGTGGCGGTCCGGTCCGGCTTCAAAGCCTGCCTTGAGTGAGAATGAGGCCGATGGCCTCAGCAAGGTTGACGGTGGCGGCAAAGAGGCCGACGCCATTGCCAACAGTGACAACGACAATAGCAGTGATGGAAGCGACGAGGACGTTGGCCAGCAGCAGATGCTCTCCGAAATCGAGGAGGGAATTCTCGACGTCTTTTCGGACGAGTACTGCAACAAGCACCTCGTGTATAGCATCTTGGAGCTGATCCTGGTGAGGTTGATGCCGGAGTTGGCAGAGAAGGGCGTTACCGAGCTCTGGGAGGAACGTCTGAGCCTGTGATGGATCCTTACAGTCCTGTGGCCCTCCTTTTTCTACGATCATTCATTTCTCGTGTTTTAGATACCCTTTTTGTCGGAGACGCCTGTAACGTAGTGTTTTTTTCTCTTATGATTTTTCACATGATTTGGTGCGTGCATAGTGAGGCGATGGAAAGAGAGAGGAACAGCGTATTTAGTTCGTGTGCTTTGCGGACCAGTCGGGATATGGGAAGAGGGAAAAGGGGGCTAATCCCCAGGGAAATGAAATGCAATAAAGGGGCCGCCCGGTTTTTCTCCTTGGTTTCCCACGCGTTCTCTGGCCGGGGCAACGCGAGTCTGTCTGTATCGGTCGAGCGAAGGGAAATGAAGTCCCCCTTGCCGTCTTGACTGCGACTCGGGGGGCGAGATGCCTCTCACCCCTCTTTGTTCAACATCGTATCCCCATCATCCTCTGGCCCTTCCCACCCATGAATGTGATGCCGTGTTTCTCGCTGCCCTGCCCCCCATCCTGACACTATCCTGAGCCGCTGATCGATTATGATAACCCAGGCCCGTACCTGCCCGTGACAAAGACCATCACCGGAACACCTCTGCTTCCTAGTCTTGCCCATAACCACCCGCGCCATGCTGATCAGCCCCTAATCAAGATAGAGGGCAAAAAGGAAAAAGAAAAACAGAGATAGGAGTAGAAGAGAACCCCATGTTCCAATGCAGAGAGCGTGTGCGAAAGATAGTACAGTGAAGAATTCGAATGAAAGTCCAAACATGAGGCGATAGAAAAACTTCCAAAAGTTCTCGTCAATGAAGCTATGAAAAGGCTTCAAGACATAAGGATCGCGGCTGAAGCAGTTGCGCAATGGGGAATTTCGGTCTTCGCGTGAGCGGAAAGTTCTTCCCTTGACGGAGCGGTTGTGCGATTTGGGTATATGAATAGGTTGATTGTGGCGTCGAGCATGGTAAAGTTGTTCTGGGTGTGAAAATGACAAGAAGAAAAAATGTCAGCCGCGCAGACGTCGTCTAGTACACTCTCTCCCGGTTCTGTAATGATAAGGTATATTTCTGCCATATTCCAGTGTCGTGAGACTGGGAACCGGGGGGGTGAGGCGCTCGAACTTGTCATCGTGAAGTTCCAAAAGAAAAGAGGGGCCTCGATATACATCGAGCGAGGCCTGAAAATTGTCGTGAGACTGAAACCGTGTATGCCTGGGGCTTTTTTGATACCCTGTGATAGGTAACGCTGATGGTATGTTTTTTTTTTCTTTCTTTTTTCCCCCCTCTCTTTCCCCGAAACCGAAACCTGGTCACGGCAAGGTGGTTGTGTTCTTCGCAGAACTATCGCCGATTCTAGAGATTGGTGAGACCAAGATGATGTTTCGTCGTCCTGTTGTCGTTGCCCACACACGCATGAGCGAAGTGGTTGTTCCCAAATCCAGTCCGAAATGAAAGCAAGCGAACGCCTGTAAAGCAAGGAGATATTTCTGTTGGGGAAAAGGGCTACCGATAGTCGAACCGATATAGGATTGCCTGTGTAGAGCCATTTGGAAAAGCGGCGAAGTTGTGATCCCTACGTCCGGACCGGCTCAGATTTGATTTCGAGAGACATCGGGGAAGGATGCTGCGGTAACATCTCAGTATCTCCCTCAGGGATTCGATCTAAAATACCCAATGGCTGAGGCGCGCAAGACTTAATAAGCTGGTGCTGCTGTAGTCGAAGCTTTTCCGTTAGCCTTATCATCATCATGTACTCCGTTTGATCCAGCAGCGCTCCTCCACTGTTGTTCTGAATGTAGCTCAGTAGAGTATCCGCTGCCCTGCGAGCATCCTCCTGAGTAGGCGACGTCGGAGAAGATCCAGCAGGAGTTGCAGCTGATCGCCCAGCCATACTGCCGTTACTGCTGCTGTGATGCAGATGAGGTGAAGAATTAATAGCAGTATCCAGACCAAAATGCGGCACTGTCATCTCGTGAACAGGAGACTCCAACGCGGAAGACGGTGCCGTGGACGCAGGATGGTATTTCGGAGTCATAGGCTCTGTTGCCTCGGTCTGGTTCATGTATTCAATGTCGAGAGTCGGGAAAGTCTGGCTTCTCGGTCTCTGGAAATTCGAAGCGGCTCCTCCGTGTAGTTGACGGGATGGGTCGGTCGAGATAAATTGCCCAGTGTTGGGGTCAGGGGAGAATGTGAAAGTTGCCGTCGGGCTCATGGCGCTCCCGGAGAAGGACGAGTTACCTGCGTCTGTCAAGGCACTGTTGAGAGATGTCGTGCTTTGCGAGTTGGGGTGTTTGTACGGGTTGCCTTCCCCGTAACCGACAAAGCCAAGCCCGTGCACGGCGTCCTCGTCGCTTCTATCGGCTGACAGGGGAGACGGGTGTCCTGTCGGGGATGTTGGCGACATGGCAGATGCCCCAAGTGACGGAGAGCCAGAGAGCTTCGCGTGGTCTGTGATGTTCGTCTCCGATGCCCGGCGTAAGAGCTTTCCTGAAACCAAAATGTTCCTCTGCTTGAACCGCTCAAGCCAAGTGGTGTTGATGGACTTCATCTGACCGGCTTCGGCGCCGTTGGTGGTGCGGGAAAAGTGCTTCGCTTGATCAAGAATCTCCTCGTCACTCGGAGTCAATCCAACTTGCTGCTGTCTCCTGACCCACGCGGCAACAGCTCGGTCGATGTCCGGAAACTTGCCCTTGTTGTGCCGCCTTCCAGCGGGAGACTGGCTCCTGTCTGCCTCTGGGTTAAGATACTTCTCTTTGTTCCGTAGAACTTTGGATACGGTGCTGGGATACCAATGTTAGAGAACCACTGCCTCCATCATGCATGCTATTGCACAAACCTACCTTCTTTCAACGCCGAACATGGCACCGATGTCCGTCTGCTTCACATTGGGGTGCTCAGCAGCATACTGGCACATCTTTTTTCGGTCGTCGTCGGTCAAAACCCTACGCTGCTGAGGCTGTGGGCCGTTGGATAGTCGTGTCGATCTGGAGGGCGCCGGAGCAACTACCGGTGCCATCCCCAAGGGCGGTGCCGAGTAGCTGTTGGGGTTCGTCAGCATACTGGGCCAAGTTGGCTGAGAAGGTATCATGAGCATCGGAAGTTGCGCATGAGACTGTTGTTGGTGTGATTGCATCGGCTGGACTGGAGCCGGTGGAGGAGGCATCCTGCCGATTGATTCGGACGGCAAGCCATGAGTGACTGTCGTCGGCATGAAAGCGAAGCCTCCATAATCGGAGAGGGTATTCTGATGGCCGTACGGGCTCATGTCTCCCCAGCCCTCGGTGCTGAAGGATGCGTGGTTGTGAGCCATGTGGCTGTCTTCGTCCTGAGCCAGATGGCTGTTCTGGTCCATGGTGGCAGTGCCCACGATGGAGTGGTCCATTGCTTTATTATATCACTCTCTTTGGCTTGAATCGGAGCCCAGTAAGTCAAGTCGGTAGTCTGCAAGCGGCAATATCTGGCTGACCAGTCGTCGTCGAAACCAGGTCCCAAGGTTGATGATGGCGAGGAGGGATCGTGCCGGAAAATCTGCCTTGACTGATGGGATAGACGCCACCACAGGTCAAGTGTGGGGATTCCTGTTCCAGACAGATATTGGTCGGGTTTAGTTTCATGAACAAGAAACGACATGCATGATAGAAGGGGCCAATTGGTCTGAAGGCGCGGCGTGCAGGCGGTCCGCTCTGTAGGTTAAAAAGCCCTGGAGCTTGGAGTGACTTGGACGGAAGTGCGTTGCAGGCTGCAGAAGAGCGGTTGGGGAACCAGGGGTGAGGGGGGATGTCGTCTCTGAATCGAATCGCCTGATCGTATCTCTTCCCGCAGGTCCTTTTGACGAGAAGAGCCGAGCCTAGATACAGGTTCTGGGGGTTGGCTTCGAGCGCGTGCTTAAAATGCTGGTACGACAGTCACCTCAACGGGTAGCCACGCAGTTGATCCTGTACTGCATCAAGGCAGCCCGACTCGCCTACAGCCTCTGACCCAGTTGTCTCTCTTGTGGTGTTAATTGGCACCAAGACAATAGGGCTGGGTTGCTTTGGCAATCCGTTTCTCGACGTTGGATCAACCTGTGAGGAAAGGGGTGGAAGAGGTGCGAGGAAAGAGAGATGCCTGCTCGGTGCAAACGCTGATGCCGGAAAGCAGTGAAGGGCGGAGGAGGACGAGCCTGGCAGGACCGGAGAGTCGAATTGGGCCAGTAGGATGAGAAGATAATAGTACGCTACGAGGGTCAGACGCCGCGGTGCACGAGGCAAGGCTTGAAGACAGAACTGGCAGGTCGGGGTTGGGGTAGGCGGGCTTCTCAGATAGTAATACTACCGAGCACACGGAAGGATGAGGGTTGTGTGGGTGGTGGTGGGCCGTAGTACGCAGGCAAAGGCGGCGGGTACTAGGTATGTAAGTACCGGCAAGGATATTTGAGAAGGGGGGGGGGGGGTGTTCCACCTGCTCCTGGGGCGTGTGGTGGGCATATGGTCGAATCTAAGTCGGACTGGGGGTCGTGTGGTAACAGCCAGACCCGGCAAAGAATGACATGGGGGTTTGAGAAGTACTAACACCAAGTAATCGCCCGGGACAGACGAAAAGGAGTAAGAAGTTCGTAGACTGTCTTGCCCTTGGTTGATGGCACAATGTGAAGAGAACTAGGCACAGGTTTCCATGGTTGAGTTGTCTGTCGGAAAAAAGCGCCGGCAGTAACCGCAGGCCTGATAAGCTTGGCACGTAAGAAGCCCATCCAACGAAACATAGCGACGGTAGTTTTATGCGTGAAGTGTCATGATATTTGCAGGGGTGAGGTAGGAACAGAAGGATGGAGTGGTTGATCTGACTTGGCCCTCGCAGCCGGCGTGAGCAGAAGGTCGGAGACAAAGCAAATGGCAGGTGCAACGAAACGGAGTTATGGGATTCCTGGGCGATGGTTGTCGACGATGCGAGTGTTTTCCGACAAAAAAACATCATAGTGGATTGACATCCAACTAGCCTAGGCCTTGAAGCCGTCACGGCTAGGGATATGGAGAGGAGCTAGAAGAAGCCACTGGCTCCGTTTTGTCTCCGTTGCCGCATGGGCGAGAAACGACGGCCCATCTGGAACTGGAAGACGGTCTTGACGGGAGTAGAGCAAGCCACACACAGGCACTAGTTAGGTGCTGATTCGGTTCCGTCTCGTCTCGTCTCGTCTCGTCCTGTAGCGCGTCGTCTAGACCCAGCCTCGCCTTCGCTTTCCCTCATGTCTCGCCCGCTCGATGCTGGTAGGCGAACGGCCGCTAACCAGTCACAGCAACCAATACTTTGGCGTCCGCGCCCCGCCCTGCTTTTTAACCAAGGGCGGCAGAGCTGATCCTGACGGCTTTCTGGGTGGGTGGCCCGGTGGTGCGGATAGTGAGATTCTGTAGGACACTCCGATTCTGTATCACCCAGGGAACGTGACGACAGCCTGCGGGCATGGAACAGATGGGCGAAGGAAAAGAAAGGCCAAAAACGAGATGTTACAGAAATGGTTGCTTGGACGATCAATAACCAGGAGAGGCTGAGTAGGGCTTTGAAAACAAGAATTGCGCGCCAATGAGCTGACATCAGGACCTGCTTTGCGCTGAGATTACCACCCACACGACACGCGGGCACCCACGAACTATTAGGTGCCATGCTCGCTGGAGCCGTGGTCCAAGACGGAGAGAAATATCCTCAGGCTGGACGGAGTGTTCGCATCCTTGCCGGGCTCGACGCATTAACTGTGTGAAGACAGATGAGATTGAGATGCAGGCAGCTAAGGTCGGGTAGCCCAAGCCTGAAAGGCATGGCTTTGCGAGCGGTAGTACAAGGGGCGGCAGTAGACTCCTCTTCTATCACCCAGACTTACGAACGCCCTAGCAAGGGCTTTAGTTGACAAGACGCGGCAAGAGACCAGACGATAGATGGACCGTTGCCAGTGTAAGCGACGAGTACTGTGGTGTAGTAGTGCCTTGTTAGAGCGAGACGAGAGCTAGACATCGAATCAGCAAACATGACGACGTGTGATAAGATGGTATACGGCAAAGTAACAACCTCACGGCTGGCCGAGTGGGCTGGAAGAGCAATACTACTGATGTATCGATGCTGCCTCCCGCCTGCCTGCGTCTCTTCCATAAGTACGTTGTATCCCGAGGCAGCAATATGACAGGAAACCATACACATGGACGGATACGGAACGCCAAAGGGTAAGGAAGGAAACAACGTCGTCCCATCTTGGGCAGTGGGCCGGTGGCCGAGCGTTCAGTGGCTCACCCGTCCTTCCGTCGCCCCACCAAGACCTCAAGAGACGTACCTATGGACAGGGATATCTGAGTAGGGTGCACTGTGAGCGACACGCACTGACTGGCTGGACGGACTGGTGGACCTCTCATAGCTCTAAACTTCGAAAGAGGACCCACTTTGTACCGCCATGGTCTGTATCCGTACTACGTACCTTCCTCGAACGAACGAGGTTCGAACAGAGGATGAGGAGTACCTAGGAGAGGGAAGGAGCAAATAAAGAAAAGATAGTAGGTAGACAGATGGGCGGGGAAGAGAGGGGATGGAAAGAGAGGGGATGGAAAGAGAGGGGAAAAAAAAAAGGAAGAAAAGGGAAGAAGAAAACCCCCCCCCCCCCCCCAAGGACCCGACCGACACCCCCGGTCCATGAGGGGTTATCTATCCTCTGCTTCTCCCCCTCCCATAGGGCCATGCCTATGATTCCTCCATCGTTGCGACTCATGAAGCTCTAGCTCCTCTAGCCACCACTCCCCTCTTCCACGCTTCAGATGACTTACAAGCGATCTCTGGTCGAAGGCTGTCGTCGCCGGGGGGTTGCGAAAAGAACCAGTAGGAGGCTTACTTCTGACTTGCAGACCCTGACAGGACCAGAGCTCCAACACTCTTACCTTCCAACCACCTTAGCTGATCGGCTTGGTACAATTCTATTCGACGTCCTCCAGATACCTGCCTCCACCCAGCCGCTCCGACACAGCTTACCTACTCAGTGACCATCTAATTACGCACCTACTTTGATCTTTTGGAACCACATCCACTCAACGACTTCATCATCTGACACTTCTGCTACGGATACCGTTCTGACCGACAATTCGTCATTGCCTCGATTCGCTATAGAGTCTCCCTCGAAGAATACGAGGCCAAACAGCTGTGCGAATAATGTTACAGAAGAGCGCCTTTTCGCACCACATGAACCTCCGATCAGGTCCCGTTTCGAGCAAAGCCCCAGCCAGCTCTGTCAAATATCGACTCCTCACCTCACCACCGCCGCCACCACCACCACACCCCCTTCTGCATCGATACCATGTGCGCATAACTCAGCACTAGCTACGAAACTATCCTTCGGCTGGTACGCCTTTTACAGTCCCTATCTCCAACATACGACGCTGATACATCATCCCGTTTCCACCTCATTTCTCCCTTCATCGAAGCTGCCAAGCCATCGATTGAGGCTTTGAGGATGGTCTGCCGGCAACCTGACCCCATCCTTGCCCTACTCTGCTACCAGGGGCGGAGGGGCAACCCCGATGTCCCACACTCGTCTTGGTGTCCAAAGGCACCATTGAGCATTGAGGGAGGGGGTGTGGCCTCATGGCCCTATAACAAACACCTCTCGCAGACGGATACCCGGTCATTTCCCCACGGACTGCTATCGCTTTCGGCTGCGGTAAGCAACCTTCAGCTCCTCGTAACTTGTAAGCAATAATCAAAATAGCATACCATTTTGTCAGCCTCGGCTAAGTGAAGTCGACTTAACCTGGCAGAGCTGCCAGCATAAACCCCTACGGCAGGCTATGCCGATCAATGCATTCGGCCATGGAGGGGCTTCCCCAGTCTGGTGGAATACCACGACTCGTCCTACACCAAAACGTGCGTGAGCCTTCAAATCAAACGCTTTAATCTCACGTCCCGAGTTTGATATGCGGATGTCCATGACAATTCATGAAGCCTTGATGCTACCCGATAATGGGCTAAAGGCCTAGGCACCTAAAGCACTATGACGCACCCTCTAGGCCATCGGTGCTCGGTTTCCTACAGGGTCTTGTTACGAGGCTTTAACCTCCATTAAACCGACATCCACCTTCGTCGTATTCATCGTGGACCGTAATTGAAGAGCTACGTCCCGTCTTGAACACGACTTGCGGTCGCTAAGATTGTCGGTCCATGTGGTCAGTTTTGTGCGGTCCACTTACCTCAGTCCTGCTGTGGTCATGCGGTGGGAGAACAAACAGCTTTGATGCAATTTGACAGATCCGGCTAGCTCATCATGGAACGGGCCTCGAGACAGGTATGTTCCGACTTCCCTAGCCAGAGGCCAATTATTAGGGCAATATCGCCAGCGACGGTCCACTTGTTCACATCGTGGAACCCTGATGTCTCTTGTGCGCTCTGCAGCACCATCATCACCTCTGGGGAGCTATACCCCCACAAGGTCACCGGATTTCCTTTTCCAAGCCAGGAGACAAGCGTATGCACCGTTTGGGATTGAAGCTCAAATATTGGAGGGTTGTTGCTGGCCAACAGCAACGCTCGAATACTTTGTGGCATTCTCATTGGACCAAATTCTTGGTTTCATCAGACTTTACCGCACTTAACATTGGTCAGGAGTCATTATTCGCGCTTGAAGCGGTTCCGGCGAAGCCAATTCGTCGCGGACTGATTTCCGTTTGGACAAGTCGTTGAGTGCAAGAACCTCCTGAACCATCCACCCACTCAAGCTCTCGAAGGATTTGGCCAAACCTCTCAGGACGTTGTTTTCGTCCTAGAGAGCTTGGGCGCTTGGCCAAAGTGTACATGCTATTGCGATTGGGGCATAGCCCGGGGTCGACCAGCACCCACCCGCGTTGGCCCGCAACATGCGCCGTTCTTAATATGAAGCGGGCCCTTCCGGCGACATCCTAGCCTAGGCTGGCGGAACATTAGACTATACCGACTCGAACGTTGCCCGAATCAGTATCTGATCGCTCAGCATTGAGTTCGCACCAGTCATGGGAACAAGACTCTCATCTTACGACGACAAGTGCCTGTCAATCTACGTCCATGATTGATGGACATGTCGGAATGCAGAGCTCCAAGAGAACAAAGAAAAAGTCTCATTTCAAAGACCCATCCTCGCATCGTATCACCGACGTTCTAGATGGATAACGGGATTCATCAAGGCGACATTGAAACGGACTATTGCAGCAGCGAATGGAGGCTTTATCTCGATTTGCGCCGCTGGGTGTTCTGGATACAGCTAGGAAGGAAGGCCCATGCTAGTGGCTTTCGACGTCGAATACCCAATTTCTGCCGCGCATCATTCCCTAGAACTTGTCCTTGAGAACCCATGATCGCAAAAATCGACTTTGAAATACCAACGTCCCAGCATGACTGCGGAGACGTTCCCGTTCGAGTCCCATGGCCTGCCAGTTGGCCACCCAACTTAAGACGACTGCCCTACCATATGGGCCTTCGGTGACACACCACCCCGGACTAAGGCTTCATGCTTACCATCTTGTGTAAGCACACACGGCACGTCCAAAGTTAGCCCTCGCGATCAAGCCTCCCCAAGAGGATGTTAGCTGCGCCAGTATCCGTACAGCTTACTTACTGGTTGATTCATGTCGCCCTGGAGCAAGCAGGGAACCTAGTCAGTGCGAGCAACATTGCAGCGCAGCATCCGCCGCCGTCCGTCGGTCTGTGTTGCCCCTGCGCGTGTCTTCCCTGCAGCCGTTCTCCCGTGGTCTGTGTCCTATCGCCCATCGTTCGCCTCATCTGTATCTGCTGCAAGGCACGGTGTACATTCATCTGCTCGCCGGTAATCTCGAGTCGGCGTCGAGACAAGAAGCTAAGATCGTCCGGTGACTTTCGCTGCTACCATAGTCTCTGCAATCCCCTTCTCTTCCCTTCGTCACATATCGCGGACTTGAGACGTCTCCCAGTCGTCCTCCTCGGATAAGATGAAAATGAGATTATGAGATCACGGCTCGCTTGGGAAGGGGGGGGGGGGGGGGGGGGGTGGTGGGTCCATCCTTAACTGACACATCCGCTCTGCAATGAAAAAAATAATTAAAAAAGAAAAGAAAAGAGAACCGGGACTGCGCGAGGACAAAATATGCTTGACATGGGCGGTAAAGCAAGCCTTGTGAAAGGTGGTCATAGAGAGGGCTTGCGTCTGGCTGATCCCAAAGCTCCCCCCTCCCCTTCTTTTCACAGAGTAAGCAAGATCCAGGCACGGGACTACTAGTATCCCGCCGGGGACGATTCTCATCGGGATTCGCAGTGAAAGGCATTGGCACAAGCGGTATCGGATTCCTTCTCGACGCAGATTCATGAGCGTGGCAGCAGACAGAGAGAGGGGGGGAGAGAAGGGTGCCATCTTGGCTCTGGTTTAAGCGCCGACGTTGTCCTCGTTCCAGGGGGTCCCCCGTCCGGCTCGCCCAAACATCTGCCCGCTCTTGCCAGCCCATGCACCAGGAACAGGATGTGGGCGTTGAAGCTGCATGCTTCTCCCACCCACCCTCTTGTCCCGTGCGGAGAGGTATTGCAGAGCACCCAAGCACCGCGCGGGCATGTGGTGCTTCTTGCAGACAGGATATGCACCCTGCGCTTCTGCTGGGAAAAGTGCGGCCGCAGAAACAAAGGCCATCGGCTATGCAGGCCGTCCATGATCTTTCCTTCATACCACTTGCTGACCGACGACACCGAATGGTGGCGTGTGTGGGGTGCGCCCGAATGGCCCACGGCCAGTTTGTCCCCCATCCGTGATCACGTTGATACAACGATAACGGCACGCGAGAGCGACGACGGGGGAAACAACTCTTGGGCGTTTAGCGAGGCTCTGGTCCCAGCCGGCGCCATCCCTACACACAGATACGACACTGGGAGAAGCTTGTACAAGTCAGGCACTCTTTTCCGCCGCGCAGCTCACGTAGTAGTGCCCAACGGCCCTGACTTCACAATTCTGACACAACCCGACTGGCCCGAAGCTATAACATCACACATACAGCGTACCTCTCAGGGGGGCGAAATGACGGACAAGAGGGGAAGAGAGAAAAAAAAAAAAACTATGGAGACGTAGTCCAGAAGCCGCTTCGATTAAGCCAACACTCCGCAAGCCAGGTTCCTCCTCGGCCCCCCTTTTACTTTTTTCTCCTTTTGTCTTTGCATCTCTTCCTCTTCTATCATGCTAGAACGAGAACGCTGCTTGACTGACCCAACATCGCCTTTTCTCGTGCGCATCTCCCTTGGGCGGCAAAAGTAGGTAGATACCCACCAGATAACGCTCTCCGGACAGCTTGCGGCCGCGTGCCCATACGCAGTGGCACCACCATCACCACAACTCGTCCCTGTCCCGAATAAGGTGACAGTCTCTGATTTGCAGTTGGCAGCACATACTCCGGACTGACCGACTACGCACATGTGTGGGTGTGGGTGTCTGTGTGTCTGAGTGTGTGTGTCTGTGTTGATACCTGCCATGCCACTTCAAATTGCTGAAAACTATTTGGATATTGCACGCCGTGTTGTAGAACCGGTGTCGGCTGAGGTTGCAGCGAGCAAGAAAAAAGACCTCGGGGTCCAGAAGAGACCTCGAGGGGAGGGGAGGCGAGGAAAAGAAGCAAATGGCCTGTTATCATTTTTTTCTCCCACCAAAGGGGGTTCGCCCGGCGCCTTGTCCAACCAGACGTGGGGGCATGGCGACCGCGTTGTCGCCATGCGCAGATTAGCTTGTTGCCGCGTTCATCAGCGCTTGACGATTGTTACTAAAGTCACCAGATGTTAGTCACATCTGCCTCTCTCTCTCTTGGCCCAATTCTTTTTCCTCGACCGGGCCAAATGCCTGAACAAAAAGCCCGAGAGCCAGGACGCCTTGAGACCGAGGAAGAAGAAGGGGGTAACAGGACAAAGAGTCTCACCGATATCCTCGTCGGCTAGCTCGTGGGCGAGTCCGACGCGCTGAGGCTGATGCTTTACAGATTTGCCGTACACAATGGCAGTCTTGAACTGTTCAAGAATGCTCCTGTGAATTTGGTTACACTGTGAAGAGGAAACGTTTCAGTCAGCACTTGGTTAAAGCAAACGAGCAAGCGATGCAACACAGCCCCTCGTCTCAGACGGGAAAGGATGCTCGCGCCGTATTGATCGAGGCGGCTGTCGGAGGCGGCCTCAGAAATGACGAGGTCGGTACTCACAAAGTCTTCAACTGTGCACCTGTTCGAACGGAGCACCACGGGCTGGGAGTAATCTGGCAGCTTGCCCTTGGGCTTGGTGTAGACGCGAACGAGTTGTAACTTCTCCCACCTACGCGCCAGTAAGGAGCGATTGTCAGCTGCTTGGGTTCTTGCAAGTTCAATGTTCCAGAGTCCGATAGCCCTTGGCATTGTCTCGGCTGTGCTGCCGCTCAGGGGGGCAACCATCCGGGCGGAGGGGGCCTTGAAAGCAAAAGGAGGGTGGGGGCAGAAATAGTCCTTACATGGCCTCCATTAATTCGTCAATGTTCCAACCCTGCTCGGAGCTGATGGGCACGGCGTTAGGGATGCGATACAGCAGGTCGAGCTCCTCGATACTGATGGCGTCGATCTTGTTGAGCACGTAGATGACGGGGATGTAGTTGCGACTCTTAGCCTCGAGGACGTCAATGAGGTCGTCGATGGTGGCGTCGCAGCGGATGGCGATGTCGGCCGAGTTGATGCGGTACTCGTTCATGACGGCCTTGATCTCGTCGTGGTCAATGTGCGTCAGCGGCACCGTGCTCGTGATGTTGAGGCCGCCCTTCTCCTTTTTCTTGAATGTAATGTTGGGCGGGCTCTTGTTGATGCGGATGCCAAAGCCCTCAAGCTCTGTCTCGATGATGCGCTTGTCCGTCAGGGGCTTGTTGACGTCGAGCACGATAAAAATGAGATGGCACGTCTTGGCCACGGCGATGACTTGACGACCACGACCGCGACCGTCCTTGGCTCCTTCGATGATACCGGGCAAGTCGATGATTTGCAGCGGCGCACCTGAACACACTTAGTTAGTCTCCTGATTCTTATCCACCCTCGTCTCATTCTGCTCACGTCCATGGAGGACAGGGATTTCTCGTACCGTTGTAGGTGACCTGACCAGGGACGGACGTCAGGGTCGTGAACTCATAGGCGGCGGCCTCAGAGTGCTGGCCCGTTAGCTTGCTCATGAGCGTACTCTTCCCCACGGACGGGAAGCCGATGAAGCCGATACTCGCGACACCCGTGCGCGCGACGTCAAAGCCGGCACCGCCGCCGCCACCACCGCCCGAGGGCGTCAGCAGCTCACGCTTGAGCTTGGCAAGCTTGGCCTTAAGTTGACCCAAGTGAAAGGATGTGGCCTTGTTCTTTTGGGTCTTGGCCATCTGTTGTGAGAAGAGGTTTCATGGTCAGTCCACGTTCCTGAAGCTTTCCTCGCCTCTTCATGCGGTTCATATGTGTGTGACCTGAAGGGGGTTCGAGGTGCTGATTGTTGGAAAAGGGTGCTGCCGACGACGCCGCGGGGGGAGGGAAAGCCCTCGCCGGATCAGCTAAGGGGGTTCGAGGGAACCATTTGACGTCGTTGACGACAGGCGATCGCGAGAGGAGTCGTGAGGAGAAGGAGAATGATGATGGAGGAGGGGTTGAAAACGTACTTCGGCCTCGATATCTTTGATCTGTACGCAATCCACAGGTTAGCAAGCAAAAAAAATACGGCAGGGCACGAGGGCCCAAGGAAGCAGAGGGTTATGAGGCCGAACATACCTTGTCCACCGTAGTCGCCATGGTTGCGGTTTCCTCGTCCCGAAGACGCTGCTACTCGATGGAAGGGCTAGGTTGGGACCGAAAACTGTCCTGGCCTGTTCAGCGCGCGCGTCGAATGCCGACTGTAGATCTGCTGTAGCGCAAGTTCGGGAAAGCGAGTGGGGTATCACAGAGCAAAGGATAGGAAAAGAAGGAAAAAGAAGGCTCGTCGAATGTGTTCGTGATGCGTTTTGGTGTTGGGTTTTTTCTTTTCTTTTCTCTCAGATGCGCAAGTTCTCCAGACGCAATCGGCGGACAAAAGAGAGGAAATGGCTGTCCGGGTTTAGGGTAGAATGACGGAGGATTTGAACTGGATTGGACTGGGATTGGTGATAACGTCCTGGCAAGCTGGTGGCTTTGTGGTGGTGGGTTTTTCGGAGGGGGCAAATGGCGGGGAGGGGCGCGGCGGTGCCAAAGGCACATACGATGTATAAAATTTTGGCGGGGGTGGCCGTCCATCTTTTTGCCGTCTCGGCGGCTCTCATTGGTCAGGTCGCCTGGGTGCTCATTGGTGATGTCAGACAGAGCCTGATTCATTCCAATTCAAAAAGTCTTTCGTGATCTCAGCCCTGCGTCTCAGCAAATCATCAAATAGCGTCGTGAGATGCGAAAATTTCACGGGGTTGTCAGTAGAGAGATAGGGAGAATAGTGCGTTTTGAACGGTTTATTTTCATCATCTACGTTTTGCGCCTGGAAACCCCATCCCAGACCACCCAGCTCTGCTTCCAACATTTTCAAGCCGTGACCGTCTTTCGTCCATCGTTTGCCTACAAATAAGCACGTCTTATTTCCTCGTCTTTACAAATACTGCAAACGGCTGTCTCATAAATACAGTGCTCCGTCATCCAAAGCCGTTGGAGCTAGCGCGGCAGCTCATCGACGTCTCGAACCCGAATGTCGATCGGTTCTTCGAACCGTAGCCGCAAGGAGTAGCGACAGGACGGACAGCTAGACCAGATGCTCAACCGCGATTCTGAGACTTCTGCCGACTCCGATGGTTAATCATGTATCGTTTCCGGGCGTTACTGCGAGGCATGCGCATTGTTGTATATTAAATAGTGTGACTCGTGTGATCTAATTCGTGAATCAACTCAACTCAGTTGGAATCCAAAACTGAGACGCCGTTAACTCCGTTCGGTAAAAGCTTCGGCTCAGTTGATGCCGGTACAGGAGCGAGCGCCGGCGCGGGTGTCGGGCCAGGAACAATAGCTTG